TGATGGTGGGGCCCAAGAGAATCCTGGTCAGCAGGAGAGCTTGGTCCATTGGGTCAACAGCCACAGTGAGGTCAAGGAGGATTCCGACCGAGAAAAAGCTTTTGGACTTAGCTATCGAGGGCCTGGTTAGTAACCTTGAGAAAAGCCGTTAGCACCAAGATGCCAAGGGGCTGAGGAACGAATGGAGGAAGAGGAGATGGAGACAGTTAAAGCAGAGAGAGGGAGGAGAGCTGATGTCCAGGTGGCTCAGGCAGGCAGGCGGCCCTTTCCCCCCAGAGCAGAGCAGGGTAAAAGCGGCGAGGGCAATCCTAAGAAAGGTGGGAGGGTTGCCCTGGGTGGTACACGAGCGGGCAGCGGCTTCCAGAGCTCAAGAAACCCCCTCGGCCCCGAGAAAAGCAGCTGCTTCTTCCTCCAGCACCCGTTTCCTCCCGATGACTCACTCAGCAGGGACGTGTGGCTGGGTGATGGAGGGGAAGGGCCGAGAACTTATTTTGGGATCCAGGTGACAAAAAAGGAAGAGACAAGGAGAGTGAGGAGCTAGTCAGGAGGCATCCTGAGAGGTTTGGGAGGAGAGGGGATGCAGGCCTGCAGGGACTCTGGAGAGGGGCCCCTCCTGGGTCATTCTGTCGCCCCCGTCTTTCCTGGCCAGATGTTGGTTTTATCCCTTGGGGTGGGTGGAACCGAGAAATACATTCCTCCTACCCCCCCAACCCCCCCCCCCCCAGATGTGGAGACATTCCCCTCACGGTGACCCGAAGCTCCGAGATTGGCCCTAGAACCGGAGAATCTCAGGGATCACATAACTCAACACTCCCACTTTATAGAAGAGGGAAGTGATTTACTGGGTCACCCAGCTGGTTAGTGGTGGAGCTGGGACCAGAGCCTGGAGCTCCCAGCTCCCAGCTCCCAGCTCCCAATCTGGGACACCTCTGAGGTGAGCTTTTTAGCTGTAAATCTGTGACTTGGGTCAGCCTTCTATCTGAGTCATGGGGCATTTGCTGTCCCCAGAACACATCCTGAGGCCATTCCCTGCTGGGATAGGCCCTCACCTGTCTCTGCTTTCTACTTGACTTCCATGATTTCTCCCCTTCATCTCCACCACCAGATTCATCGTCCTTGTCTATAGATATTAGTGCACCTCTCCTCTGCTCAAAACCTTTCAATGCCTCCCATCACCTCCTCGGCAAAATTCAGATCCCTGGCGTTGAGCATATGACCCCTTCCCTCCCTTTCCATCTTTACCTCTAATCCCGATGGCCTCTTGCTCCCATCCCCTGAAACACACACACACACACACATACACACACACTATCCTCTGGCCAAGTTGATGTGGAACACTGGAAAAACAACTATATCTGGAGTTGGAGGACCTGGGTTCAAATCCTGCCTCTTCTATTTACTACCTTTTATAACCTTGGGCAAATCATTGCCATTGACCATTTTGGGCCTCAGTTTCCTCCTCTGTAAAATAAAGGGGTTTGCCTAGATGGCCTTTGAGGACCCTTCTAGCTCTAAAGCTAGGATCCTAGGTCCCTTCCCCTCTGTGGGCCTCAGTTTCCTCCTCTGTAAAACAAGGGGTTGGCCTGGATGGTCTCTGAGGTCCTTTTCAGGAGCCAGGATCCAGTAGACCATTTACTGTCCTCAGAACCCACGTCCTGAATCCTCTGACCCATCAATGCCTTTGCTGATGCCATTGGGACCTGTTGAAGTCTGCCCAGCCTTCAAGGCCACCTCCTCGGAGCTGGAAGTGACCTTTGTCTTCTCTGATCTCTTAGCACTTTGTGCCCTTCTTAGCATGGATTGTAGTTCTGTGCCTGGCTTATCTCCCCTTACCGGAGAAGAAGCTGGGGCTGAGAGTGGGCAGGGGAGGGGTGTCTGTAAAATAGGTATTTAATAAATGTTTGGTGAATGAATGAATGCATGTTGGGGTCCTCAATGCCACGACCATCTTCCTAAGTCAAATAGCTTCTTGGGAGCGGAGGCCCGAGAGAGAATGACCATGGGCTCGTGTGGACCTCTCCCCACTCCTTCTTCCCTGCACTTGGAGTCTCATAGATAGGGGCCCAATCTCAGCTTCTGATGCTTAACTAGCTCTACAACTTGGTGTGTTTTTTAAAAATATATTTCTATTTGTTTTGTTAAATATTCCCAATTACATTTTTTAAAAATTAACATTAATTTTTTAAAATTTGGAGTTCAAATTCTCTCCCTTCCTCCCCCACCCCTTGAGAAAGCAAGCAATATGATACTGATTATACATGTGAGGTCAGGCAAACCATATTTCCATATTTAGCCGTACAACTTTGGACAAGTCACTTAACCTCAGTTTCTTCACCTGTAAAATGGGAAGTGACATTACCCAGCTCAAAGGATTGCCAACCAAATGAGGTAATACCTGCCGAGAATTTTGCTTTGTGAATTGTCAGCTATTATTATAAACCATCAAATGCTTTACAAGTGTGAGTGATCGGTCATTCTGTAACAAGCATTTAGTAACCACCTGCTGTATTCTGGGCAGGGCCTTTAAGCTGTTAAAACTTAAAACTTCACAGACTTTTGGGACACTCTGTGTAGACGAAGTGGATACAAGGTCATTTCAATGGGGGAAGGGCTGGTGCTGTTCTTATCATGACTGTTGGAATATGATGCCCTTTCCACTAGAGCAGCCTAAAAGGGGGCAGGACCTTCTCTGGAAGGGTGAGGGTAGAGATGGGTGGCAGATTGCTTTTCCTGAACTTTCAGGAGAGAGTCTAGAGGCCCCTGTCTGGGCTCTCCTAAGGCTAGGAAGTGGACACTGAGGCCTCGGCTTCCCATGACCTCGCTGGCTCTCAGCTAGACCCCTGGGGGCTGTGAGGAAGGCTCGCCCTCCCGGGCTGCTTCTCCTGGGAATCACTAAGACTTAAAATCCCACAAAGGGTCTGGAAAGGGCTATAATAACAACCGTAATAATCACTAACATGTACACAGCACACTAAAATTCACAAACCCCTCGTGTGCATTATGTCATTTGAGTTTCACAACCATTGGGGTAGCTGCTCTCTCATTTTACAGATAAGGAAACTGAGGCAGGCAGCGGCTGAGTGATTTGACACAGCTAATCAGTGTCAGAACTGAGATTTCAACCCGAATCTTCTAGACTCCAAACCCAGCACTCATCTGCACACCATATTGCATCTCAGGGAAACTGAGCCTCAGAGAGCAGCAAAGTTCCCCACAGATCCGAAAAAAGACTGTAAAAGCCAACATCCTCATTTGGCGAGGAGGAAGCTGAGGTTCAGAGAGGGTGACTAATTTGTCCAAGACCACACAGCCTCAGTCCAGAAGCTCCCCATCTTGCTGGGGAGACAAAGACACACTCACACGGGTTAGACAACCAGACAAGACTAGTTGTAATTAAGGGTCAGCGCGTGGACTATGTGCATTGTAGACAGTTTAGACGTAGGAGGACTGAGGGCTGGGGGCAGGGGTGATCAGAGAAGGCTTCCTAGGCCTTCTTGCTCTGTCTGGCAGCAGTTTAGGAGCGGGGGAATCTGTCTGCCCAGCTTGGCCTGCCCATCCTGGGTGGTAGACCAAGATGTGGCTGAAATGCCCTCTAGTGGTGAAATCAACTATAGCAACAGCACCCACTCATCCCTGGCTGCGAGCTCAGGACTGAGAAGATGAATCCTAGGTTCTTAGGCCAGCCCAGAGTGGCCAGTCTTGTCCATCCCAGTTCCCACCCCCTAACAGCTCATGCCTCTCAGGAGGATGCCCAGGACATAGAAGGCTTTCACAATGTCAACCCTGACCTCCACCCAAGGGGACCCAGCTAGGGTTAGTGCTGTTCTCTCTCTCCTCCAATGGGTTTGCCATGGCAGCACCCTCTACGGATCTCCAAGCACTTTTCCTTGGCTCTCAGCAGCCTCCCTAGGATAAAATGTGGTCCCTGTGCCCATGGAGCTCATAGTGTAGTATGGGCTGTGCCCCAAGCTAGGGTAGTATACACAGCAATGAGAAATAAATGCACTAGATGACCAAGCTTGGCCCCAGAGAAGAACTGAGAAAGAGAATCCTCTCTTCTCCTTTCACTGGAGAAGCCGGGACTTAGGAATGGGGAACATTACCGGGCCTGCATGATGAGTCTGTGTTGGTTTTGTGGGGTTGCTCTGTTTTCCCCTGCTTTCTTTTTTGATCTTTCTTACAAGGGATGACTTGTTTGGGAGGGTTGGGAAGGATATATTCAGAAATGAAGGTGATGTAAAAACCAAAAGATATCCCACAAAAAAAAAAAAAAGAATCGCATTAGACAGCAGCAAAGTGCTCTGGGAGGTCTGAGGAGGAGACCAGAGAAGCATCGTCAACCTTTAGAATGTGGGAAGGACTGGGAAAGTGGGGATGAAAGCCCCGTCAAGCAAAAGGGCCACTTTCTTGTTGTTATATACCTACAGTCTAGTAAATGGGGTCATGAGTCTGGGGCTGGAAACATTCGTCCCTCAGTGGCCAGGGTCCTCGGGAGGGACCTCTCTCTCCACCCCCCACCCCCCAGCACAGGCCTCTCTTCAGGAGCAGATCCAGTCTTTCCTGAGACCACGCAAGAAGCTTTCCCAGCGTGGAGAGCATTCACCAGGGTTTCTCTTCTGCCTATAGAAGCCTCCTGCAGCCCAGTCAGCTCTGTGCTATGTTAAGATATCAGAGAAATACTTTAGTGGAGGGGAGTAATACACAAGTAGTTAAAATAATAACAACACTTTTTTGAGTGGGAGTGCCGTTCGGTCCTATGATTTCATTGGTATTGGGAACTCCCAGTATAGAAACTCCTTCCATCAATGCAAGTTGACTACTCATCTGAAACTTCATAGGATTATAGATTTTAATGTCAATAAAGACTCAGAAGAAGTCAAAGGTGTCACGCCTGGCCTCCCAGGTGCCCATGCTACCTCTAGGCTGTGGGAGTAGAGCAAGCATCCACAGCACTGCCCGTGCCTTTATTAACCTTCCTGTCTCTCCTTGCCTACACATAGCCTGAAAGCGGTCTTGCTGGGCCCGCCTCCGGACAACACGGTGGACTTGTCGGGCATCTCGCTGACGTCCCGAGACCTGGAGCGACTGGTCGCCTACCTGCAGCGCTATGAGGAGCAGGTGGACATCCTCGAACTGGGTTTCGCTGACCTCACCGATGACATGGTCCTGCGACTCCTGCCCATCCTCAGCTCCCTGCCCCACCTCACCACCCTCGCCCTCAATGGCAACCGCTTGACAAAGGCCGTGCTCCGTGACCTCACTGACACCCTCAAAGACCCCAGCAAGTTCCCACGTGTCACATGGATTGACTTGGGCAATAACGTGGACATTTTCTCGCTGCCCCAGGCCTTCCTCCTCAGTCTCCGAAAGCGCTCTCCCAAACAGGGCCACCTACCCACCATCCTGGAGCTGGGTGAGGGGCCTCTAGGAGGAGAGGAATCCGAGGACAGTATGCCTAGCGAGGTGGATTCTAGGGTGAACCATCCGGCCACCGAGACACAGAGCATGCCCCTCATAGAGAAGGTGTCTGCGACCTCAGTAGTCAGTAAGACATGACATGGAGGGAGAGGGTAGGGGTTACTTGTATGGAAAACTGTACAGAGGGATGTCACCCGGGTGTCTTCTGACCCATGACTTCACCAGGAAGCTTCCTCTTTGAGCAGCAGTCAGCCTTACCTAGGTCTCATTGTAGGGTGGAGGGGGGCAGGCAAAAGAAGCCCTGGCGAGGTGACCTCTCAGGGCCTATCCCATTTGCACACATCCTGGCCTGGCCCTTTGGTAGAGTGGAGCGCCCATGGCAGGTCACCCAGACTGAGTGGGTCCAGCCAAATGGAGAGCATCCCATCCCGAGCAGACAGGGAGAGAGAAGTTAGCCGATCACCTCTGTCTTGGGTTTCTACTTCTGTCCACCTCCCAGGCTCTCGTCTCCCGCCTCCCATGTTGTGTGTCCTGTGATGTTGTCTGCCTCTCAGAAGTCATCACCGGCTCCTGGACGCTCCCTGGCCTCTCCTCTGAGCCCCAGCCCTGTCCTCTGCCTGCCTGCTCGTGCAGCGATGGGGGAGGAATTTTAGAGATCTAGCCTACCCCCCTCCTTTTACAGCAGAAGAAACTGAGGACAGAGTGGAATAATGACTGATTTGTGATCTCATCAGTAGTGATTGGGACCCAAGTTCAAGGAGGAGGGGCATAGAGAGAGGGACCCATTGACCCTGAAGAGACCTGCGGTCCTGGGTTCAGGAAATCCATTTTTTCCAGAGAAGGCCCTGGAATGTGAGAGAGAAGGGCTCCCATGGGGACTAACCCTTCAAAGAAAAGCAGGCAGTGGGTGCTAAGCACCCAAAAAGAGGACAAGAAAAAGCATCCCTGCCCTAGGAAATTGCCTTTGGGTGCTGAGGTTTAGGAAGGAAGGTGGGCCCAGCTAGGGATCTCCCCTTCATCCAGTTTACCCACTCCCCCGTGTCCTAGGGACCAAACCCCGGCCTGAATTTGCCTAAGTCCTTTGACTCAGAATGCCCTTCCCTGCTCTGGAACCTCACCTGGCCACTCTAGAACCACTGCCCTTACCAGGCCAGAGCCCCAGCTCTAGACCCCCCCAGTGTGGCCTTGCTGCTGAAGAACCCAGGTGGTCAGAGGAGGGGGAGCCCAGGCTGCACCTGGTTGACTGGGGGTGAGCCCCGGCCCGTTACCGTCTCAGTGTCTTTACCCCCAGCACAGGCTCGGCCTGGTGCTGGGACGCTTGCTGACTTGGGCTTTTTTTTAAAGATTGTCTTTTGTACAGTTTCCCAGTATCCACAGAGCTCAAGATCAGCCATAGTACCTATCCGTGACTCTCCCCTCTGTCCGTCCCCCCCACCCCCAAGTCTGTCTGGGGCCTGTTTTTGTCCCTGTCACTGTCTCCTACCCTGGGTGTGAACAGGCCTGACCAGACCTCAAAGCCACCCTAGGCTGGCATCTCCTTCATTGGAAATAAAGGCACCAGCCAGAGTCTCGCTCCCCGTTTTGTGTCTCCCTGGAGGGTCAGCTGCTGAAGTCATTTGTCATAAGCTAATGGTCGTCTGGAGGGCTGCTGCTGGAGCCTAGTGATTCCTGGGGGGTGGGAGGGTCTTTGGGGTACAAAGCGTCCTCCCATCACGCCCCCCCAGGCACACAGACCAACTCAGAGCTTGTCTCCTGCCCACATCACCACCCTAGCCAGCAGCTCAGGGCCTGCCTGCCTGTCTCTGCCAGCCGCCTCCCACCTGCACCTCGGAGAGACTGCAGTCTGGGTTCATGATGGAGAATGATGAGAAGAGCTCCCAAGGGCCCCTTTTCAGGCCAGAGCCTCCCCCTCACCCCCACCACCTTCTCCAAAGTGGCAAATGAAGTGGAGCTAATTGGAGCCACTAACAACCACTAGGAGACTCGTCCTCCCTCCTCCATCCCCGAGCATCAGCCAAGGTTGGCTTGTCTCCACGTTCGGGAATATGGGAGCCAGGAGCCAGAACACAGCAGAGGAGGCTGAGCTCCGACCATCTACACAGCATCTCCCCAGCTTCATCTGCATCGGCCTCTCCTCCATTCCTCCAAGGGCCCCCCTTCCCTTCTTTCCCTCATCAGATGCAATATGGCTTTCCCGCTCCCTCCAGGGTGGTTTCCCCATCAGACTAGCCGGCTTGGGCTGGGCTGGCTCTCCAGTGCAGACTGGAATGGAAGGCCCGGCTTTGGTTCCTGAAGCCAATCCCTGGGGTCAGTAAGCAGAAATTAGCCCTGAGCGGGGAATCCAGTCCACAGCCAGACCCTGCCCTTATCTCTAGGCACCTGGTACTTCGGAAAGAGCACTCAGAGGACCTGGCTTCCAATCTGATCTCTGATTTTTACTACTCAAGTGGCAATGACTTGGGCAAGTCATTTAACTTCCCTGGGTCTCAGTTTCCACATCTGTAACATGAGAGGGTTGAGCTGGAGGTGGCCTCTGGGGTCTGGCCTGGGAGGGGCTCTCCGGAGCCATCTCATTCATGCCCCTCATTTGACAACGAAAGAACTCACTTAGGGCCCTATGCCTCAGGTCCCAGGGCAGGAAAGGACAAGCATTTAGTGAGAACACAGTCCTGTTCAGATGGGGAGAGGGAACGAAGGAAGGAAGGAAGCATTTTTAAGTGATTACTAGGAATTCCTGGGAATGAAAATGAAATATACACAGAATCTTGTGTTCTGATGGGAAGGAACAAGATGATTTGGGAAGTTGGGGAGCTGACCGACGTGGGGACATTTTGGCAAAGCTGGCCCAAGGAGGAGAGAGGGTGGCTTTGGGCTGGGAGCTCCTCACACTGGGCCAAGCCCTCGTCACTGGAGGCCCAGACACTGAGGGCAGAAAGGCGGTGGGCGAGCAGAGGCGCGGGAAGGCTCAGCTCACACGAGGGGGAGTGCAGCACCCCTGGCACCTCAGGGGTGACCACAGGGAGCCTCTTTTCTCAAAAACCATCCCTTCTGCAGGGTCAGCTGGGTGACTGGGGCCTGGAGGCAAGGGAGGGGTGCAAGCTGACCGGGAAGGGGGCTCAGGAGGGAGACAATGAGGGGCAGAAGGCCAGTGACTCCTGCAGGCTTCTGAGCTCCACGCACATCAGCCTGCCCTGGGTATTCCAGGTTTCTGGGCCTAGATGAGCCCTTGAATCAGTTTGTCTGCTTCAAACAATAAGCATTGATCAAGTGCTATGTGCCTGGCACTGTGCAAAGCAGTAGTGATTAAAAAAAAAAGGTAAAAAAAAACAACTCCCTGAGTTCCTACCAAGGACCTTACATGCATAAATAACTTGGTATATACATAGGACAGTTAGGTGGCACAGTGGATAGAGCGCTGGGCTTGGAATCAGAAAGACTCATCATCCTGAGTTCAAATGCAGCTTCAGACACTAGTTGTGTGACCCTGGGCAAGTCACTTTACCCTGCTGACCTCAGTTTCCTCATTTGTAAAATGAGCCAGAGAAGAAAATGGCAAACCATGCCAGTGTCTTTGCCAAGAAAGCCCCAAATGGGGTCATGAAGAGTCAGACGCAACTAAAACAACACAAGGAAACAGGAGGATATATACAGAGTGGATTTTAAAAGCTGCAGCCACTGGAAAAGTCCTGAGGAAGGTGGGATTTGAGCAAAGTCTGTGCTGGGGGTTAAAATTGAAAATCCCTGCCCTGGAGGAGCTTGCATTTTAATGGAGAGATAGTGTGTGCATGCATAGGTCCATACAAAATACAGATCCGATAAATGAAAGGCTATGGGCAGGGAGTGGAAGACACCAGCAGTCTGGGCATCCCGGAAAGGCTTCCTGGAGGAAAGTCAGTGCAAAGGACCTGGAGGGTCCAGCCGGAATAACTCAGATGGAGGTATGGAGGCGGGGGCAGGCTGTCTCCCCTATTCTGAAGGCTGCCCCGAGCATCCGGGCTGGTGGTCCCTCACAGCTAACCTGCACCCTCCCTGCTTCACATCCAAACCCATCCCCTCTGGACTCATGTGATGGCCTTCCAGTGCCTGGGTATCATGGGTGTGGGGACTGGAGACCCTCGAGTTAGCCGGGAACCGGCTAGGAATTTGTTTAGGCAGCGGATTCCTCCCCTCCTTGGGACTGATGCGCAGGCTTGGGGGGGGGGGGGGGGGGGATCGTGCAGGGAAGCCAGTCAGGGTTCACGGGGCCACGGGGAATCCTCACCGTCTGCCTCCGGTCTCCCCCTCTCCTAAAGCACTGCCAGTTACTGGCACGTTGATTCTGCAGACTTGCCCAGCCCTAATTCAGCTTCCTCTTAATTGCTCCGGGAGAAGGGAGCACTGGGGAGCTGGCTGTTGCCTGGGCCCTTGGGGAAGAAAACAAAGGAAGAGAGTGCCCCCACCCCTCCCACAGAAGATAATGGGGGGTCTCACCTGGCTCCTCCCTGTGCATGAGAGCTGGGGAAAGTTGGGGCTGGTGTCCTGAGTCCCCAGTCTAATTGTGTCTAAGAGCAGGATATGCAACACATACACCCACACACCCCTGTGATAGCTAATAGTTGCATTTATAGTTATATGTATTAGGTCACTTGATCATCACAACCTCGTTTGACACAAGGAAACTGAGGCTGAGAACGTGTTGAAGTGACTTGCACACATGGTAAGCATCAGGTCAGGACTCCCTTATCCCAGGCCTAGCCACCTCTCCCCCTTGACACTGTCTGCCTAAGACAGCTGAAGGTGGCCCAGGCTGATTGTGACACATCAGAGGAAGGGACTTTCTCGTTGCCCCCTCTCCTTCCCCACGTGGGCCCCTCGTTCTGCTCAGCAGCTGGGCACAGGGCAAGATGCCTCCGAGCGCAGGTCCTTCCCCAGCCCCTCTCTTCCTCCTTATCACCGGGCTCTAATGCCAGAGGCCATCTGATCTGGTCCCACCCCTCCATCACACAGCTCAGAAGCTAAAACCAAACCCAGGTCCTTTGCCTCACATCCAGGGGATGATGGATGCAGCTCTCCTACCTTGGTCTCCATTTTTTTTTTACAATCCTCTTTTCATTCAAACTACCTTCTACCTCACTGGACGCCTGCCTCTTTTCCATCTCAAGAGGTAGCTGCAGTGGCTGAGCTTGGCTTCAGTCAGCCACTTCAGCTATGTGGCCTTGGGTAGGCAATCTCTTGGGCCCTCAGCATCCTCAAGCATAAGACCAGGTTGGACTGGATGGCCTGAGGCCCCCGCCAGCTCTACACCTATGATCCAAATGCTCTCCCACCGGTTCCTGTACCCAAGATTCCCTTCCCATGCCTGGAATACATCCCTTCCCCCCCCCCAACGCCCTCTCTGGTTCTCCCAGCTCATTTTTCTTGAGCCTGTCACACTCTGGGCCTACAACACTTTGACCCCAACATTTCAGGAAATAAATGCCCTGTCTGCACCAACAGCCCATTGCCACCACCAAAATAAGGGACATAGGAGCACTGAACAGTTGAGATGCAAAATCAGTCAAAGAAAAAAAATTAACTATCATTCTGCCATGCTTCAACGACTCCCTCTGGAGGAGACTGAGCAGATCTCAAAATTCGAAGTGGGAAAGCATGAGGCCGGTACAGAAGACGAGACTGATCAGCAAATCGGGCCGTGGGGACCATGGTGGCTGGTGAAGGGCTGTGGCAGAGGCGTCTCAGCGGGTATCAGTGTCCTTGGGCAGAACGCCCTAGACCAGGATATCCTCATCTGTCGTTTCCCAATGGTTTCTAAAGATACTCGATGTTCTAGACCTATTTTGCCATAAGGCACCCAGAAGCCACTAGCATTTTCATCAGGAGTGACTGTCCACGGTCCTCTGTGGCTCCCTCCTCAGCCAAGTCTTCCATGACAATAGCTGGCCCTCCAGACTGCACTGTACCAATGAAGGTTGCAGATGGACTGCTCATCACAAAGCAGAGGTCACCCAGAGATGAGGTTGTGGGACACCCCGGGTCACACTAGGTTCTAAGCTTCTGCCTCCAGTCAGCTCGTTACAGGACAGGGCCTAATTCAACCCCTGGGCCCAGTCCTAATGAAGGCGGGGACAGCCTCCAAGATTAACATGGGTGGGAATAACCAGTAAAGAGGAGGGTGTGGAAGTGGGGGAGTCTTCCTTGATTGACTCACAGCTCCACCTTGTGGAAGTCACCATTCCAACCTGGGACCAGAATCATCCAGAATCAATCCACAGACTTGTCTGGGGGCTCTCTGGTGGCAGCAGGCAGAGGCTCAACCCCAGCTGAGCCCCTTTTCCTGCTGCCCCATGTTCTCTCCAAGCCTGATCTGCCAAGAACTCAACTAAAACCCTTCCTATCAACTTGATCCCAATAAACGCCCTCCTCCTTCAACAAGAGGGATGGTGGTCTTAGTCTGAAGAGCGCCTGGCACCTGCTCACAAGAGACAAAGCCAGTGAGGCAGCCATGTCTTGGCACGTGGAAGGAGGCCTACACTTCGACGGAAATGAGGCAGGAAGCTCTGCAAGGACTTCGAGGCCAGCAGCAAACAAAATGAAGTTAAGAAGGTCTCACCACAGCAAGGACCCAGACACACTTTTGTTCCACCATCCACCTGATTATTATCCCCAATTCAATTAAAAGAAAAGAACCAACTGTGCTTTAGTTTGCTTTTTTGCAAACAAGGTTCACAAATCTTATTTTTGGGTGGGCCCACAATCACTTCACAAACAGAACAAAAGTGTTTTCTGACGATTTTAATTAAAATGAGCTTAATACAATCAATGCCTTCAGTGGCTCTACTCTACACCCAGATAAGAAATTTAATTAGCACCAACACCGAACTCCGGAATGGTTCATTTAGTTGATCGGAACAGCTTAGCAATGTTCTTGGAAAAGAAATGCTGCGTTATAACTCCTTATAATTAAACAATGCCATAGGTCATTCTTCCTTTTTCAGCTCCAAGTTTTATTCTGCCTCACTTGAGGCTGCCTTTGCAGTGATAAGGCTGCCAAGACACTGTTCAATGCAAGATGGCCAGGGAATTTTTGACAGGGAGAAAACCAAAGGATGGCTTATTGTAATTCTGGGGGGGGGGGGGGGGCAGGACAAGAAACCCTCCCTCTGCACATGCTAGTGTCAATTTCGGGCAAGCTATTACCCTTTTTTTTTAACCTTTCCTTTACAAAGTATACAAGTCTATGCCCAGGAGTCAGAACACTACTGATTACCAGGCAGACACCATTTGATCCCAAGAGCCTCTCATGCTAATTACAACTTAAACCTTTTGGCAGAATGTTTACAGTAAACAATATATGGTCAAACAACACCATCCTAAAACATTTCTGCTAAGCCACTGCAAACAAGTTTCATGAAACCCAAGGAAAGCCATACAATGTTTGTCACTCAAAGCAAAGTCTTCAACATGTCATCCAAAGGGCATCACTGCCATCACATGCAGGCTTCTCTCTGAATCTCTCAAGAGTCTTTTATGGCCTACAATTAAGAATAAATATTAGTTTCATTGCATACCACACCAAACATTCTCATTTATGACCAAAGACATAATCAGAAAACCTCGGGCTCACCACCAAACAATCTGCCGGTAATTCCAGCTTTTTGGGTGAATTTCATCATTTAATATCTTGCTATGAATATTAGTTTTAATTTAGTACCTTTCCATCCATATTCTAAGTCTTACCTCCTTACAGGCTGCTAGTGATGACATTCTGTTCTGTAACTGATTTCATATCACATGGATTCTTCATTATTGGAGGGTGAGAGAGAAAAGAGAAAAAGCATCAATAAAAAAGAACACAAGAAAACTGATAAGACACAAGTGTGGATAAGCCAGTTACCTACAGAAGCTAGGATAAACGGCTGCTGTCAGACATGATCAAGTTCATCGTCAGTTATCGCATCTGACGGCACTTCCTATTGAGTGGTATCATCATTAACAGCCAAAAAAAAAACCCCCACACCCCTTCCCCTGTCTGTTGGTTTGCACCAAGAGCCCTGCAACCATCTGGTCCAGCCATTTAGGGGCACTGAATCTGAAAGGGAACCAACTCCTGGGGCGAGTATAAGACTAAACTTACCCAGGGGGCAGCTAGGTGGTACAGTGGACAAAGCACTGAGTCAGGAGGACCCTAGTTCAAGTGTGGCCTCAACACATAACACTCACTAGCTGTGTGACTCTGGGCAAGTCACTTAACCCCAATGCCTAGCAAAAAGAAAAAAAGAAACAAGACTAAACTAATCCCCTGAATAAAACCAACTTAAACCTGGTAAGATTACTTTTTACTACCTAGTTAACATCTTCAAAAGCTCTCTGGAAGAAGGTTGGGTGAAGATTGTTGCCAATTATAAACCAACACCGTCCAAGATCAGCATAAAAAGTACCACTTACCTGAGAAGAGTACTGCTACGTCCTGAGAAGCACACGTTCCTGAAAAAGGGAAAAAAACAAAACAAACATTACTCTGCAGCTCACGTGCAAAGGGACAATCAGCTACATTTCCAAGCTGAATCAGAACAAAACCTTGTCACCACTGACAATCTGCCGGTAATTCCAGCTGTTTAGGTTTCATCTCATCATAAAAAGCTTTCCTTAGATGGGCTCCTATTTCTGAGTCCTTTCCTGACAAACACTATCCCAGGGGCCAGTTAAGTTTAACTGCTCAGGAGGCCACATAACACAATGTACTCAGGTTGCACTATTATCACCAGTCTGCCAATAAACACGTTTTCATCACCCAGGGCCAGGCACACATCAGAATGTCCGGGAGTTACTCCAACAGACAAAAGGTACTGGCTCCACTTGGACTTTTGTCCGGTCTTCATTGGGGTGGAGTCCCTTGGCCCAGTTTTTGCAGCAGCGGCTGAAGAGTAAAGCGGTGGACAATCAGGACAAATGCATACCTGGGGAAGCTCACACTCACACTTCGTTCTGCGGGTCTCAGAGCTTGGTCCACTCTGGTCACATCTCCCGCCACTTCAGCTACTGCCCTGGAAGACAAGCACAGGACTTGGGTCCAGGGGCCCGCCTGGGACCCTCCGGGGGCCCGGCCCGCCAGGGCAGGCTGCGGGTCAGACACCAGCTAAAGCCATCGTCAGTTATCGAGTCTGACGGCACTTCCTATTCTGGGTTCTCATCATTCCGCAGCAGACCCAGGGAACGGACTCTGAGACGGTCCTGAGGGTCGTCTCGGCTACACCCGGGGCGAGGATCAAGTGACCAGACAGGCTCGGGGCAGAGCCTCGGGCTCGGAACCCCAAGGGACCACTGTCCTCTGCAGGGTCACCCACGAGAGCTGTGACCTCATGGGCCATCTGGACCACCTCCCCCAACTTTAAAGGTAGGCAAAATGAGACGTTATTTGTCCAGGACTCAGATCCTGATCCCGTGACTCCGAAATCTGGGGTTCCTTCCATTGCTCCAGGGGCCCCCGGAGCCCGGCTGGGCAGAGAAATCCCCAACACGGCCCCACGTGGCTCCAGGAGAGCCCTAAGAGGCGTCGCTCACGCGCAGGCGCAGAGTAGAGCGTGCCCATGGGGGGGGGAAATGCCTTCGGCGCAGGCGCAGAAACATCGGGCCGCGGCCTCGGCTCTCCTATCCTTCCTCCCTCCCTCCCTCTCAGGCTGCTTTTGTCTCTGTCACCCGGCGTAGCAAGCCTACCTTCCGCAGAGGCGTCTCATCCTTCGCTGCCCCGGCTGTTGAGCCGACACTGGGCCCGGCCACGTCCCCACTCAAACCACCAAACCATAGCAGTAAAAAGGGCGGAAAGAGCGAGCCTCCCCCGGCCGCCGTTCTTAACGTACTGGGACATACCATTCCTGAGGGCGGCGGGGGGGGGGGAAACGGAAGGGGAGCTCCCCGGAATGGAATCGTCCATTCCATTTTAAAGAAACTGCCAATCCCGGCGCTCCATCCCTCCTCAGCCACGTGGGGCGGGAAAAGGGGGCGTGGCAAGAGCTCTGGTGTTTCTTCTCCACCAGGCAAAGGTGCTAGGAGCTCTATTTTATAGGGAAGGCTAGGGAGAGAAGGAAGGGAGGAAAAAAGAAAGGAAAGACCTATTAAATGCTTACTGTGTGCCAAACAGCCAGTAAGCATTTATGAAGTGCCTACTGTGTGCAAAACAGTCGTGTATTTTAGAGCTACTTACTGTATGCCAGTAATAAAGCTAAGCATAAAGATTTAAATAGAAAAGGAAGACAGGCCCTGCTCATATTCTGATGGGGGAAATAACACATCAGAGCATTAAAGAGGTAGAGTGACTTCCTCAGGGTCACACGGTTAGTGTTTGCTCCAGCTGGGATTTGAACCCAGATCACTCCAACCTGCTATTGTTAAATTTTTCAGTGTGAGGGCCTTGCACCTCAGAAATTGACAAGCTCCATAAATAGAGTTTGATTTATTGTTCTAGGAATCAAAAAGTGGTGGAGAAAATGTTAATTATGGAGATTAAACTTAAAAGTGAGTTGCTTGTATATTTTTTTTCACAGAGCCAGTTGTTAAACACTTAACAGTACACCTGTGAACCTAGCTTTTCTGACTCTTTGCCCTGGATTCTTTCTGTGAAACTGAGTTGCCTTCGCCTTTGTATGGAGATTTATATTTGCTGTGATGTAGAGGGAAGGGATGACTGTTAATGTGGCATCACCTTTGTTCATTCTTGCTACAAGCCTTTGTTAAGCACCTACTATGTGCCAGGCACCTTGAGAGGCACTGAGGATACAGACAAAATCTTTGTCTGTAGAAAGTCACTAAAGGGGCAGCTAGGTGGTGCAGTGGATAGAGCACCAGTCCTGGAGGACCTGAGTTCACATCCGTACTCCGACGCCAGCTGTGTGACCCTGGGCAAGTCACTTAACTTCGATTGCCTCTAAAGAAAGAAAGTCACTGAAGAGCTTTGAGCAGCAAAGTGACCTGGTCAGATTTGTGCTATTTTGTCAGCTTGGGTGGAGAATTGATTGATTGGAGGTGGGAATAACTGATTTCAGGAGAACCGATTTGTAGGCTGTTGTAACAGTGCAGCTGAGAGACTGAACTAGGGTGGCAAGAGAAGGGAACAAGTCAAGAGGTATTTATTAAGTGCCCACTATGGAACCCCTGCAAGGAGTGGTTGTGGATGGACAGGAACGGACGAACCTCGGCCAATGATTGAATGTGGCAGGTGAGGATTCGAAGGTTACAAGCCTGGGTACCTGGAAAGATATTGGTGCCTCAGCAGAAATAAGGCCATTGGGAGGAGGGGGACAGGGTTAGGGAGGAGGATAGGGAGTTCTGGCTTGGAAATACTGAGTTTGTGATGTCTACAGGACATCCAGGTGGAGATACTCAACAGGCAGTGGGTGACGTTGGGCTGCAGCGGAGGAGGGAAATTTGGCTGAAACTCGTAGATCTAAAAGGCATCGCAGACAGGTGTTGATTGATTTAATTATATAATTTATTTCATGTTCTACATATATTAATTGATTCAAATCAGTACAAATTTATTCGATGCCTACTAAGTACGACACTGTGCTATGATGCCCTGAAGATACAAAGATGAGAAATGACAAAGATCTTTCCCTCCATCACCTTACAGTCTATTTGAAGGGAAATGATATGTGCACAAATCAGGAAGATGCGAACAGTGCAATGGTGCAATGAAGGCAAAGAGGACCTCCAGATAACTCCAGGAGAATGGGAGGAGGAAGCACCCCCTTCCAGCTAAGGGGCCCAGGACCTGGGAAGCGAGCCGAGTCTGGAAGGCAGACTGGTGGAGGGGAAGGATGGCCAGTCTGGAGGACACAGCTAGCAATCCAGTTTGGCTGGAACGGAGAGCAGTAAAGCAGGGGACCATGCTGTGGAGTGAGCCGGCAAAGTGAGGTTGGAGTCCAACTGTTATACAGGCTTTAAACGCCAGCCTCCGGAGTTTCATTTGACTGGTCATTGGTATCTTTTATGGGCTTCATTTCCACCAACAGCCTCCTACAAAGCCTCATTGCCTTATGGAGATAACTTGAAGGCTACGTCAAGCAGCCAACTGGCCAGCATTTAGGAAGCCCCAGTGCCAGGCATGTTCCAGGGGCTGGGAGTACAAAAGAAAAAGGAGAAAGGAACAGCCCCAGCTCTCCTGGGCTGACGTTCTAGGTCACGCTCTGGAAGGTCCCACCAGGGTTCCCCAGAGCACAGGTTAACTTTGTTAAACTGAAAAGGGCTCCTCACCAGCACGCTGGCTCCCAGGTGATGACTTTCTGTAGCCACCACGACTCATGAAGAGGTTTACTAAGACATAGGCTTGCCTCAGTGGAGGGGGCACGTATGCTGCTAAAGTATGAGGTTCTCTAAGGTGCTAGACATTTGGGCAGATCAAAGGATGTTAGGCCTTACCCTCAGGGAGCTTACAGTCTATGGGCTATCAGATCATCCCCACCTCATGGGACCCGACGTCCCCTGCCCTGTCACCACCTCTCCACATCCATCACCTTGCCTCTTCTAGACTGTCAGTTTCTAGTAGTGGGAGCCCGTCTTTGTCTGGGAAAACTGTGTCTACACACACACTCAGAAAGTGAATTCCCTGCATTCTCGACTCTGTGTGTGTAGACACAGCCTGGACACCTGCCCAGCCCTGGCGTGAGTGTCTGAGTGCCCAGCAGGGTCATTGTCTCTTAGTTCCTGAGAAGGACAGTGAGGAGAGGCCTGCATCCCTGGGCCCACCCTTGAGGTTTCAGGCACTTGAGGCCGAATGGGGATTGACTTGGGAGACCTTCAGGGACCCCCCACAGGCTCACAGAATCAGAATTTGAGGTCATCAAAGTCAAACCCCCTCATTTGAGAACAGAAAGAGGAAATGACTAGGCCACAGGCACATGGCAAGTAAATAGCAGAACCCAGGGCCTCTGACTCCACATGCAGCAGTTTTTGCACTATACCATGCAGATACTACTACTGCTACTACTATTACTACTACTGCTGCTGCTGCTGCTACCACTATTACTATTACTAATAATACTTCTACTAATAATAAGCCCGAGAAAAGTTAGCCTTTCTATGGGGCTTTTGAGGTCTGCAAAGCACCTTATGCATATTATCTCATTTGACCTTCACAACAACTGTGTGAGGTAGGTGCTATTATCCCCATTTTACAGATGAGGAAACTGAGGCTCAGAAAGATTAGTTGACTTGCCCAGGGTCACACAGCTAGCAAGGACCTGAGGCAGGATTCAAACTCATGTCTTCCCAGCTCCAGCCAACACCTAGCTGCCTTGCAGATCGTAGACTTAACATTGGAATAGGTCTTTGAGGTCATTGTAGGTCAATCTGCCTTTTACGGAAGCAGAAACAGAGAAGGGAAGGGATTTGTTCAAGGTCACCCTGGTGTGTTAGGCATTGGAGGCAGGGTCCGGCCTCTGTCCTAGCCTAAGCGTCTAAGGCAGCTGTGCTCTAACACCTCAAGATGATGGATCATAAAAACCCCTGGGGGCCCCTGCCCATAAGGAACACGGGGAGAGGGGCTTTCCTCCCTCTGTGGGTCAGCACGGCGGTGCCCTGGGCTCCAGCTCTGGGCTCCTTGGCATCTGCACTTGATTGCAGGCGTAGCTGCACTGGCCGTTCCCGGCGTCAGGCGCTGAAAGTCCGGAGGGGCACTTGATCCTCTGAGGTCTGGGGTTGCTCCCGGGCCCTTGAAGACAGCAGTCGCCTCCAGGCCGTGCCTATAACAGAGAATAGAGGGCTGGGGTCTACACTGGCAGAGGGCAAGATATTCTGAGAACAAGACAGTTCACCCAAGTTGATGTGTCATTTTGGGAAATCATCAGGGATGTGCACACCCCTGGGGAGTGCCCACTCCCATACCCGAGTTACCCACAGGGTCAGGTCCAAGAAGCCACAAAGGCAGGAAAACTAGGGCACAGAGAGGGCTCTGAGACACTCCCTGTGGATCACTGGGTAATTGATTTACAGCTGGAAGGGACCTTCAAGGCCATCTCATCCAACTTCCCTGCTTTTCAATTGAAGAAACTGAGACTCAGAGAGGTTGAGAGATTCCTCCAAGGTCACACAGGTAAGTAGCAGAACCAAGATTCTAATGTGGATCCTCTGATTCCAAATATGGTTGATGATTGTCCTTTGTGCTTGAAGAGGACCAAAAGGACATCAGTATGTTGGGGTCAAGGTACAATGTGTCCGATTTCGGCCAATCAGAGCAGTAGGAGCTTGGAGGCTCCACCACAGGCCAGGCACAAACAGTCCAGCTCTCTTTCAACTCTCCCCCGTGGCTTCCTGGGTCAGCAGGGACGCTGGAAGCCCCATTAGAGTTCTTGCCCAATCCTCCCATTGACCAGAGAAGCTACTGTAAGGGATTCAGGTATGGAGAAGGATGAAAGGGACAGGGTCACAAGAGAGGGATATAAGGAAAACCAGGGAAATGGGAGAACATTTAGAACTCCTCCCATTCAACACCAAAGAAAACCAGAAGAGATGAAAACATTGGCCCAAGTTCACTAAGCTGGTTAGTGTAAGAACCTGAAGAGGCGACCCAGGGCTCCTGACCCCCCCCCCCCCCGCCAAGTCTGGGAGTTTATTTTATCATTTTAATTTAATTTAATTTATTTAAAAATTTTAATTTTTAAGGGAGCCATAAACTTTTAATTCTAAAGTGGCCTGAAAAAATAATAAGTACAAATTATATGATTATACAACTAATAATAATGAAGTATATGTTACATAAATTATATGAATGTATAACATAATAATTTCCATTCACCTGCCTTTTTTTTTTTTTTTTAGTACAAACTGCTTTCCTTATGACCACTATGTGAGGTAGCTAGTACATGCCCAGTTTCTGGGCTAGTATTCATGTTCATTCATGTTCGCTATTCTCTCTACTGCATGTAGGGGTCAATGTAGCTTACTGGACATTTAACATTTATCAGGCACCCACCGTATGCAAGGCACTGGGGATGGGTGTTGCTCTTGGGCCCCTACTCCCTTTGTATCCTTTATGGGGACTGTGACATTGGAGAAGTTTGTCTTGACGCCTTGAACCTCCTCGGCTACAAGCACCGCCCAGGCCCTACCGTGGGGGAGCTTATTTTTTTACCGAAGATTCTGCAGGGGTGGGACCGATCAGGGATCATGCTTTTTAAAAATAGCTGAAAAGATATCAGCAACTACTGACCCCATGCCTGATTTCTTATGTCTATATAATATGAGAAAACTCTATATATACATCAAAAGTACGCCTCCTTGCTGAAAGTTGATCTGAAAGAACAGATCAACTTTTGTAGACAATTTCCTACAGCAGACCCCATAAGAGAACAGATTAACAAGCATGTGGTCTCTAAGGGGTGATGGGGCCTGGACCCCAAAAAGCCCTAAGATCAGGACTCTGAAAGTAGCCCAGCCACGTCTCTGCCCTGCCCTGCCCTTGTGAGAAAATCCTTCCCTGTTGCAGGCCTGGCCCTGTAATTCCTCAGATAAAAGCTATCTCAGGGGTGCCTGGCCCAAGAATTTTTGTCCCTGGTTGGCCCAAGGATTTCCGTCTCTGGTGCTTGTCCCAGGACCACTCATGCCTCTGGCCGCTAAACAAACACTATCTTTTCTCCTTCAATGTCTGGTATCAACAGTTCTCTCTGCAGACTCCCTGTATTTTCCCATCCATGGATCACTGAAGCCTGCTGCCAAAGACAGCTGGACCCCGCGCATTACCTAGTGAGCATCCTTAACATTCCTTTCCCTGTCCCTTTTCTATGTAAGCTTTAGATTCATCCCCGTTCAGTTGGAAGTTCCCCAAACTGTTGACTTTACAATAAATCTTGCCACTTGACTGAAAGAAGGTTTGAGGGTATGAATTCATTCCAGGCAACTCCGCCTTGTACCCTGTCATTCTCAGGGTTCCTAGCACCCCAGGCCTCTACATAAGGGACCTATACCATCATCTGACGTTGACCCTTCACTCTGGCCCTTGCTTGGTGTGCGGGGCACAGACAGTCATGGGGGATTATCTCCCCAATGTTCTCCCTGGGTCCTAGCTTTGGTCATCTCAGTCCAAAAAAGAAATAGTGGGAGCCTTTCTTCGCTGGCTGCTGCTAGTGCGGAAAGCTGAACTATGTGCTCTGGCTGCCCGAGGCAAGTGGCCCCGGCCACTAGGGAAACCCTATTCTTGGGCCCTGGAGGAGGCGTGGCCAGGGCCTGGGGGGAGCAGACTCACCTGGGAGGGTCTGCCCAGGCTCCAGAGTGCCCTCTGGCTCCTCCTTCAGCGTCTGGAGCTCCTTCTCCCATGTGGCCCAGTTCACCTCCTCCACTCTGTAGACCAAAATTAACACAAGATCATAGATTTAAGCTGAAAAGTCACCTTAGAGATCGCTGAGTCCAACCCCCTCATTTTAAGGATAAACTAAGGCCCATGTTGGTTAAATGACTTTCACAAGGTCACAAATAGTAGATGTCAGAGTCAGAATTAGAACCCAGGTCCTCTGAGTCTAACTCTTTCCATTATACCACACTGAGCCATCCCCCCCAGACAGATGAGCTCCCACAGGGGTATAATGCCAACGTTGCCAGTCACGTGCCCAGGCTGAGGCAGGCAGAACTGTTGGATCGAGGTACAGAAGTGATTTCCCTCTCCCATACACACACAGACACACACTGGGTGTAAGAGGCTCTCTATAGGCCAGGACCATTGACTGTGATTCCTATGCCTAGCCTGGGGTGGAGAGAAATCTCATCCTGGAGAATGGGAACAGTCTTTGCCTTTCTTTGTTTTCATCGGCACATAGTAAATACTTGTAGATTGACTTACTAACCTCTTGGTTTGTGCCTGATGCATAGTAGGCACTTAATAAATGTCTCTTGGTTGATTCGTTGTTGGAACATTGGCTACATTGTTGAGGGACGTAGCCCCCAGGACCAACTGGGGATTGAGAAAAGAGCTAGAATATAATTTATTAAATAATTATATTTGTATATAAATTTTATCTCCTTTTTTCAGTTTCTTGTTTTGTGTTTATGTATCTTCATTTAAAAAAATTGTATAGCCAAAGGAATCACAAAACCTGGGAGTGGCCCCAGCCTCTCTGAGCCCCAGTTTTCCTCTTCCCAGCTTTGGGACCCCCTCTCTTACCTCCCAGCTTATCCTTCCCTAGGGAGTGCCTAAACCAAAGGACCCAGGGTGACACCCTGCTTTGCTGGGCCTTGTTCCCCATGCCCCCACCCAACTGAAGTCCTACAATTGCTTTCAACTACAGAATAAGGGGTGACTTGGTTAGGCCACCCATTGACTTTGGAATAACAGGCCCTGAATGTAAATCTCATTGTGGAGACTGCCCTTGTGACCTTAGGTAAGTCACTAACTCTCAAGGACTCCGTTTCCTTATCTGTAAAAGGAGGATGTTAGACTAAATGGTCTCTGAGGTGGCTTAGAGGCCCTAAGGTGATACAGAGGATCAAGTGTTGGACTTAGAGTCAGGAAGATCTGAGCTTAGACCCTTACTCTCTGTGTGACCCTGAGCAAGTCACTCCATCCCTGTTTGCCTCAGTTTCCTCATCTGTGAAATGGGATTGATGATGGTGCCCACCTCCTCGGGTTGTTGTGAGGATTAAATGAGACACTGTTTGTAAAGTGCTTTGCAAACCTAAGTAAATGTCAGATGTCGCTGTGACGATGATGATGTTTTGAGGTCCTTTCTGGGCCTGATCTATCGATTCAAAGCCATGGAAGTCTTGGTAGGCTGGGAACCCAGAATGGATGGACGGTGTTATGAGGCAACGCCGATGTGAGCTTGGGCTGTATTGACAGAAGCGTCCAGAATGACGCAGGCTATAGACCTGTCGTCCTGTGTCCTGACCCCACACATCTGGAGTCACGGTAGAAGTGGACCAGGCCCGTGACTTGCTGCCATCTTGTGGCAGACGGGTGTACGACAGGCACGACTGTGACGTCGGAGAGAGGTCTGTCTTGGTGCCTCGAGCCTCCTTGCTGCTTCTCAGTCTGCTGGGCTTCCTTGGGCTCAGGGGCCATTTCCCTGTCCCGGGGGAAGGCGGCTGAAGACAGAACTCTCATCATGGGAAGACAGGCTTGGTTCCCTGGAGGGGATTGGAGGTGTAGAACTGGACAGGACCTCAGAGGCCATCTAGACCAAATCCTTCATTTTACGAATGAGGAGACTGAGGCCCAGCCAGTATGTGTCAGAGGCACCTTTGGAAGCCAGGTCCTCTGACTCCAGAGGCTGCTGCTCCTTCCATCTTTCCTGCCAAGCTGCCAGTCAGAGGAAGACCTGAAGCAGCCTGAGGTCCGGGCATGTGGCAGCTCTAATCCAGACCCACTGGACCTTGACCTCTGTGGCTCTTCTGCCAGGCTATCCATACAGAGGTCCCTGAATGCTTCCGTTAGTACAAACCACGCTCACATGACTGTTAGGGAGCTTGCTGTGTGATACTGTTGATCCATTTTGGGTTCCCAGTCTACTGAGACCGCCATGTCTTTGAAATGATAGATCCAGGGCTGGAAAGGACCCCACAACGTCATCATCATTAGGGTTTGGCCTTGCTCATTGGATTTGAACATCAGCATCTTTGTGAGGCTTTAAAGTCTGGATTATGAGGAGTGAAAGGACGTTGGGAGGGAGTTGTCAATAGATCCGGCTCTCTGGGGTGGTATAGGAACCTCTGGAATAGCTGTCCATATGGAGAGTGGGACTAGAGTCAGCTGAGGGCAGGACCCTGGCATCAGGGAGGATGACTGAGGTCACCGGGTCCAATGTGCTCACTAAACTCCTATGTAGAGAAGGCTGCACCCCAGCGTTATGGGGGAGTGTGGAAGCCTTCTTCCACTTTCACAACACCTCCCCCAGCTTACCTGAAGCACCATCTCTCATCTGGCTTCTGGTCCGGAGTAGTGCCCACTGTAAGGAGAATGCCTGACCGTTCCTTCTTTCTCTTGCACCACCAGTACCCCCTCTCCATCTCTAGGACTGAGATGGCTCTCTGAGAACAGAAGAGGTACAGCAGGGATAAGCGGACCCGCCTACCTTGGGGTGGAAGGCAGGGCCCCTCTGGAAACGAGAGGAGAGGAATAGCTCATTGTCTTGGGAGGGATGGGACTCTGCCTTAGGGCACCTACTTAGAGATCAGGTGTGTTTGTTCTGTGTGGGTTGACTGGATTTGGTGACAGCTATCCTCCTCACTATCTTGTGGATTTCTGCTGGCCTGAGCTAGCCATCGCTGCCAGGGACCTGTCCCCGTGGGACCCTTCTCCCAGGCTTACCTGTTGCGACCCTCTTCCCAAATCTTTAGAGAGAGTGTCAGACCATCTCCTCTTCTGGTCTGAGTATGCTTGTGACCCCAACCCTGCTCAACTCTTTTTGTCTTATGTCTGGTTAGGATTCTACCCTCCGTGCCCATTTCTGCCCACAGCCTCCCCCTGGCAGAGAACCACTCTCCCCGTCTGCTAACTATATATTAATTTCTCGAGACCCATGTGAGCCTGGGCTCTTCCATGCCCTCATTTTTGCCCTGTAGGTTCCTCTGCACCAAAGTGTCCTCATTTCCCACATGGACAAACTGAGGACTGGAGAGGAGAAGCAGTCTGCCTAAGGTTATGCTACTATTCCACAGATCTTTGAAGGCAAAAACCAACACTTTTTTGGTCTTTGTGACCCAAACACCCAACCCAGTGTCTGGCATATAATGAGAGTTTAATAAATATTTGTTGAATTGACCCAAAAAAGGGGGTTACCTGATTCACACCCCAACAATTCCTCCTGCTTTCTCTCCCATTCCCCCCTCCACTGACCCCCAAGAACCTCAAATCCCCAAGCAGTGACAGAGTTAGGATCCTAGATTCAGAACTGGAAGGGATCTTAGAGGTCACTGAGTCCAACCTCCTCATTTTACAGATGAGGAAACTGAGGTACAGAGAGATTAGGTGACTTGATCCCACTTCTATAGTTCCTTCCTTTTCTTCTTCTATTTCCCTATACCCCCAGCACCTCTGTGAAGTAACATAGGACCCTGGACTTAGAGACCATTCAGTCTGACCCTCGTTTTACAAAGGAGGAAACCAAGGCCTGAAGAAGTTAAGAGAGGGTCACACAAGTAGTTAATGGCAGAACCAGGAATCAAACCCACGTCATCTGACTCCAAATCCAGCTTTCCTTTTACTACATCATACTGCCTTGATGATCTCCAGAAATGAGGAGGGTCAAACCCTTCACCTATCCCTCTCCTCCCCGGGGGCTGCCTGGAAAGCAGGCTGGGCTCGGGGAACCTGGGTCCAGTTCCTGGCTCTGCCTCAGTTTCCCCCGCTGTAAAGGGAGGCCAGGCGGCAGATGGCAGCTGACCTGCAGCTTCCAGATGCTCCAGCTGTCGGTGGCCACGCTGTTGACGGTCTCGCTCATGAGGGCAATGAGCATGTTGAGAAGGAGGATGTAGGTGAGCAGCACGTAGGCCAGCAGCAGGAACATGATGAAGCCCTCGAACTGCAGCTGCTTGTGGAACTCCAGCTCGCCCATGCCGATGGTGAACTTGAAGAGCTCCAGGGAGGCCTCCACGAAGCCTCCGTAGGGGGCCTTGTCCGCCTCCACCAGGGACTGGTTGGAGAAGGTGGGCGGGGGGACTTCCCTGCTCAGGCTCACCAGCGCTGCAAGCCAAGCAGTCCGGGAACACGGTTAAGCACCTACTGTGCACCAGGCACTGGGCTAAGTGCTGGGGATACAAAAAGAGGCAAAAGACAGTCCCTGCCCTCAAAGGGCTTACAGTCTAAGAGAGGAGACAGCATGTAAACAAAAACAAGGTACATGCCAGGTAAGTAAGAGATAATCCGCTAGCATTCGGGAGACTTGGGAAAGGCTTCTTCTAAAAGGGTTGGGCTTTGAAGGAAGCCAGGGAAGCCGGGAGGCAGAAATGAGGAGGGAGAAAGTTCCAAGCATGGGGACAGCCACGGGGAGTACAGGGAGCCCGAGGATGGAGCGTGTTGATGGAGGAAGAGCAAGGAAGCCGATGTCGCTGGACCGAGGAGTATGGGGCGAGGGGCATAAGGCGTAAGAAGACTGGAGCTGGGGCGGGGGGATGTCTAGATCATAAAGGGCTTCGAACACAAACAGGCCTTTGTATCGATCCTGGAGGTAAAGGGAACCCCCAAGTTTATTGAGTAGGAGGGTCAGACACGTGCTTTAGGAAGATTAATCTGACGCTAACTGGAAGTTAAAGTGGAGCCGGGAGAGATTTGTGGAAAGACAGCAAGCAAGGCTGGGGGGGGGGGGGGGTTCTGGGGGGGGGGGCACCTGGGGAGGCCCTTACCTATGGCAAAGCCGAACAGGAAGACGAAGTACACCAAGAGAAAGCGCAGCAGATCTCTGAGGATAACCTGGAACAGACACCCCCGGCCCAAAGGGGAGCCCCGTGAACAACGGAAACCTGGGAGTCAGAGGCCCCAAGACGCCAAGCTAGAAGGTGGCAGAATCTGATCTCAGCTCTTCCTGATTCTAAGTCTAGTGACCTAAACCCTAGACCACATTGCCTCTCTTGTGGTGACCAAGAAATTCATCCTCTGGTGAGCAACCTACCAGGGACGACCGTCTCCCGAGGGATCTAGGCTAAATATGCAACTTGATTCAATTCAACAGACATTTGGCATATTGTCATCCCCCTAGAATGGAAGCCCCAGGAGGGCAGGGACTGTTTCACAGTCTTTGCATCCCCAGTACTTAACCCATGTAGCATGTTAGTCATAAACAGTCCATAGTAGGTGGCTTGAGATTGCTTGTTGATTGACTGATTGTCTACTGATAGGAGGCTTAAAATACTCGAGTATCGTTGGGTCTCGGCCCAATTTTCCTTGGCCTAAGTAGGACCCCTTAGAGTTGGGGGGAGGGGGAGTCGGGAGGGCTGCACCCACCTTCTGTATCATGACGCTGTAGATGCCTGTCTGCTGGAAGCCACGGGTGTAGTAGAGAAGGTTTATCCAACCCAGGACCAAGGAGAAAACCAGGATGGGCAGGTACAAGCTAAGTTCTAGGAAGCACAGCACCTGGGCCACCACTGAAGTGAGCGCCTGCATTAGGCTGGGGGAGAAGACATCAGCATCAAGACCGCTGACAGCCTAGGGGACTCCCCAACACCCTCGTCCCAGGGAAACATGCTCAGGCAGGGCTACACACGCTCATAGACCACTGGGAGAGATTCAGCCCAAAGTCAAAAAATCCCTTACAGAAGTAGTGTAGGGTCATGGGAAGGGTCCTCATTTTGGAGTCCCAGGCCCTGAGTTCAAATCCTGACTCTGCCACTGAGTGCCTCTGGCCTTGAGTTTCCGTGTTTGGAAAAGGAGGGGGTGGGCTTGGTGACTCTTAAGGACCCTTCCAGCGCTAATTCCCTGACATGTTGCCGTTTAGAAAGACGGGATTCTTTGAGAATTTCTGGCTTCCTTTCAATCTTGGTTAATATAAATTCAAACCCAGTGCCCAGATAAGCCTTCTCCCATTCCAGAGAGAGAAGGGTGATAGATAAGTGTAAGGGAGGAAAGCCAAGGGCTAATGAGAGTCAGGTTCAGAATTAACCCAGAATTCTGCAGAAACAGGAACAGAGATTAAACTGCCCAGGAGCTGGCCTGGCCATCTGGCCCTTCAGTTGGAAACAGAGGCCAACAGGCCCTAATGCTGTATTCTCCTAAGTCCTAGGAAACTATCACTTAATTTCTTTGACTCTTAATTTCTTTCCCTAAATTTCAGCTCTTTCTCTTAATTTCTCTGAGACTCAGTTTACACATCTGTCAAATGGGGAAAATAATCCCTGCTCTGACTGCCTCATGGGTTTTCTGAAAATTGAATGAGATAATATAGGTGAATAGAGCTGGAAGGGACCTTAGATGTCCTATAATCCACCTCCTTCTCCCATTTTAATGAGGAAGGCACTGAGGCCCAGAGAGGGTTGACAGGGTCTCCAAATCCGCTATAGTATATGATATTACAGCACCATAAAATATTACATAAATGCCATCTGTTATTTAGACAAGACCTGTGATGTTTATCAGTGTAGAATATTCCCAGATGAGGAGACACCCTACCAATGCAGGTTGACCCCTGTTCTGTAACTTGTAGCCTTAAAGGGATGATGGGAGTGAATGTCCGTCAGTTGGGGAATGGCCTAGAAGTTATGATCTATGCATGCAATGGAGTGTTATTGTGCTATAAGAAATGGAGGGGATGGTTTTCAAGAAACCTGGGAAGACTTGTATGAACTGATGAAGAGGGAAGGGAGCAGAACCAGGAGAACAATGTGTACAGTAATGACAAGATTGTAAAGGCTTTGGAGGACTTTGAAAGGAGTGACCAATGAAATGACCAACCATGACTGCAGATGATGAAGCCTCCTGGCAGAGAGAGGAAGGACACTGAGGACAGAACGAGGGGACGTGACTAATGTGGGGATTGGTTTTGCTTGAGTCTACACATTTGTAGCAGGAGTTTTGGCTTTCTTTCTTTCTGGGATGGAGGGGGGCAGTGGGAGGGAGAAAAGATAGATATTCGTTGATCAAAAAAATAAAATGTAATTAAATTAAAAAAAAAGAATCATCTAGGGCAGCTAGGTGGTGCAGTGGATAGAGCATCGGCCCTGGAGTCAGGAGGACCTGAGTTCAAACCCAGCCTCAGACGCATAACTCACTAGCTGTGTGACTCTGGGCAAGTCACTTAACCCCAATTGCCTCATAGTTACAAAAAAAAAAAAAAAAGAATCATCTAAGGCACCGAAAGACTTAAGCGATTTGCCCAGAAACGCAGAGCCAGCAGGTATCAGAGGCAAGACTTTAACCCTTGTCTTTCTGACTCTGGTTGACTTTCTATCCATTATACCAACTTCTTCGCCATTTATCATTATGATAATCTTTCAAATAGAGACATTTGTGTCTGAGTAATAATAATGATTTTGTTCAGTTGTTTTAGTCATGTATGATTCTTTGTGACCCCATCTGTGGTTTTCTTGGCAGAGATACTGGAGTGGTTTGCCATTTCCTTCTCCAGCTCATTTTACAGATGAGGAAACTGAGGCAAACAGGATTAAGTGACTTGTCCAAGGTCACACAGAAAGTTAGTGTCTGAGACCGGATTTGAACTTAGAAAGATGAATCTTCCTGATTCCAGGTCTGGCTCTCTATCCCCAGAACCACCTAGGTTTTCAAAATACTTTACAAATCTTAGCTCATTTGATCCTCACAACAACCCTGGGAGGTAGGCACTATTATTATCCTCATTTTACAAATAAGGAAACTGAGTCAGAGGTTAAGTGACTTGCCCAGAGTCATACAGCTTGTAAATGTCTGAGGCTGGATTTAAACTCAGATCATTGTGACTCCAGGTCCAGCAATCTGCCCATTCTCTCACTATCTATATCTCATAAATTTATTGTGAGGATCAAATTACATCAGCAAATCATTAACGCTTTTTATCTCAGTTTCCTCATCTGTAAAATGCAGTAGTTGGATTTGAGGGCCTTCCTGGCTCTAATTAGGTTAAACAGCACAGGACTAGCCATGGATCTCTCTATTATAAGGGGATAAGAGTAGATCCGAGTTGCATTTCCCAAGGAGATTTACTGTGGGCAGAGATTTAGCCAGACTGAGGGTGGCGGCTGCTCTAGGCCTATGGGACAGACACCGAAATAGATGGTGAGACAGCAGGGAAGTGTCCCCTCCTCTCTCTGGGCCTCACTCTCCTCCCCGTAACAATGAGGAAGCTGGACACCGCGGTCACTAACGTCCCTCCCAGTTCTGACATTCTGGGTGCTAAGGGAGAGGAGGCTCACAGAGCCTGGAGTCTGAGCTGGGGAGCAGGCAAACATCCCCAAACATCCTGGAACGTACATGAGGATCTCGAAGTAGCTATCAACAAACGAGGTCCAGATGAACAGACGCCTCCTCCAGAAGTATTGAAGCTGCCCAAGACACAACAACAACAGAATGTGAGAGAGAACTCCGGACCCCGAATCAGCCTCGAGACCCAAGCGGCCTCTGCCCCTCCCGCTGGGGACGCTTCCTAGTACAAAGCGGTTGGCCGCTGAGCTCCACTGGGGCTGTGGAGGTCAGGGAAAGGAGATCCCTGCCATGACCACCCTCCTTGGGCACAGGTTCAGAAATTAGGGCCCAAGGGGAAAGAGAAGAACCTTCCAACCCTACAGAGACCCCACAGAAGCAGGTGGCATCCATATAACACCCTAGACCCACAGAATAGAGAGATGGAAGACTTTAGGGATCATCTAGACCAATCCCTTCTTTTTATAGAGGGGAGAAAATAAGGCCCAGAGGAGGAGACATGACTTGGCTAAGGTCACACAATCCCTTAGTGGAAGAGCTCCTGAGCCCCAGGCCTGTGCTTCCTTCGGTTCCAGTCACACTGGCCCAAAGCTTCTGGGAAGGTTTCACGGTCAGCCTATGGGCTGAGAGATTTTCCAGACCCTAATCATTCATCTCTGAGACCAGGCAAATACATCCTTTCCTGTCTTTCTCTTCCTCCTCCCCTCAACCACGATCCAGCCAACATGTTCTTTCCCTATGTGTCCTTTCTCTGACTGCTGTTGTATCTCCTTCATCTTTCTTCACATGGGAAGCTGCCTGAGGGTAGGATTATTATTCACGTCTCAAGGTTCAATGGAAAGAATATTAGGACAGAGAGTCAAAAGACCTAGATTCTGGTCCTAACTTTGCTTCGTACTACTTGTGTGACCGTGGGTAACTCATTTGATTTCTCTGGGTCTCAAATACTTTCTCAGTAAAATAAAGGTCTTGAATTCAATGACCCGTAAGTTCCTTCTGGTTCTGACATTCTGTGTATAAGGAATACCTTGCTTTTTTCACAGTGGTTTTGTCTGGAAGGGTTTCCTCTATTAGGAGAAATTCCCTGGGGATGACATGCCCCAGAAGGTTGTGGGGAGTGCAGCCCATGGTGTGTCCCCTACATCTGTTCTAGGATTCCATTGGCTCACTATTGAACAGGGCCGCAAACAGCTCAATAGATTTGTGGAAGGGATGAAATATAATTTCAAGAGCATTTATTAAGTACCTACTATGTGCCAGGTACTGTGCTTGGGTTATAAAGACAAAAAAAAAAGAGAATAACTTTGTCCTCGATGAGTTTACTTTCTATTGAGGGAAAACAACTTGAACATAGAGAATTCAATATAAAATATAGGCCAATTAATGTCTGGAGGAAGGTACTAGCTGGGGGTGGGGGATGGGGGGTGATCAGAATAGACTTTCTACAGGAAGTGGCATTTGTCCCATTAGGATGTGGGTGCTAAAGATCATGGCCAGGTGACTCAAAGCCTGGGCCCATGCTCATCTCTCCCACCAACCAGTGGCTACATGGGAGAAGGAAGAGGCACTCACCTGGCCAAAGAAGAGATAGATACCCCCAAAGAGGATGAAGATGTGTCCCATCAGGAGCATTGAGTTACCCACTGTGGCTTTCAGAGGAATGATGTTCTAGAGAAGAGAAATCCAGAGCTCTCCTCAGGCCCCCGGCCCCTCTCATCAAGGGCTGGCTCTCTCCCTCCTATTTCCAATCTTGACCCCAAGGAGGATCTCATGACCTCCTCCTTGCCTTACCATTAACCAACTGTCCCCTTACGTCACTACCCTCTGTCTTCCCAAGGCTTTTCCTATCTTCTTTCTTTCTGTCAGTATTGTGCCTCCCTCAAAAAAAAAAAAAAAAGCAGCCTCCCCCTTCTCCATTAGACGTACTGCCCCAGCCCTATATCTGCGATGGGACAGGCTCAAAGGTCAGCCGGTCCAACCTGTACCAGAATAACATATCATACAAATAGGCGTCCAAACTTCCATGCAATATACTGGAATATTGCTCAGACAATACAGTAGACAAATGGTCATTCAATCTCTCATGCAACGTGTTGGAATGTTGCCCAGACAGTAAACTCACAGCTGGTCACCCAACCTCCCCTGTCCCCTAGGCTGAGCCTACCTCTCCTCCCAGAATTGCCCTCCCTTTTCTCCCCCTCCCCAGGCTCTTCTGACAGGGTGCCCCCTCACCTTCCCCAGGACAGGTTGGTGGTAGGTGACAGCCGTGAAGATCAACATATACAGAAAGTAGGAAACCAAATTGAAGCGAAATCGGGTGACCAGCGACTCCCATTTCTCCTGCAGTAGCTTGTTCAATGGCTCCAACGTCACCATCTTGTGTCGATTCTGGGAGAGGGACCCAAGGGAAAATACAAAAGCAAGGCATTTGCAAGGAGGTGACAAGCAACCCGAGCTCCAGGGAGATCCCAAAGTTCACTCAGCCTTGTGCCTTCCGGTCCTGGGAGCATCCCGGAGGCCTGGAAGGGCTGCTGGGAGCCAATGGAGAGGTGGCCAAAGCTGGCACATTCCCAACTCCCCTTGTAAGTTCATTGAAGGTAGGGATAGTCCCATTCTCTATGCTTGTATCCCCAGCACCAGGCATATAGTAGGAGCTTCATAAATGCTTATTGATTGACTGATTGATGGATAGTCCTCAGGGCAAGAGCTTTGTATATCCATGCAAACATGGGAAATCCGCACTGCGGAAGAATTCCCATCCGAAATGTCAAACTAGGGATTAGGGGGAGAAACACTGAGGTAGATAGAGCATCTTTCTAGGTTTGGCGCTGGAGCAAGAATCACATCTGAAGTAACAGAAGGAGACGATGGGATTGAGAGCTGGAAGGAGTCATCTAGGTCAGTGGTCTTCAAACTTTTTGGGCTTAGAACCCTTTTACCCACCTATAAAGTAGGGCCCCTCCCCCCAAGAGCTTTTGGGTGTGCGGATTTTATCTACTGACTTTTACTATATTAGAAGTTAAAATGTCTTAGTATTATTGTGAAAGTCGTTTTGACCTTGAGGACTCCCTGAAAGGGTCTCAGGGACCCCGAGGGGAGGGTCCTTTGAGATCTACCGATCTAGCCCAACCCTTTCATTTTATGGAGGAGCAGAGAGACTTCTCCAAGCTCACGCAGTAAGGATGAAGCAGAGGCCAGATTTGAACCCAGGGCCTCGGCTGTCAGCACCACTGGTCTTTCTATAACAATAACTCATGTAAGCAGTCCTTTCTTGCCATTACAAGCCCCTTTGCCATCAGTATCTCCTCTGATCACTGCACATCCTAGGGAAAATAGGAGTAATAATGATGATGACCATTATAGAAGATTATTTGGGATTCCCTTCCATTACGTTATTGTCTATCTTGTATTTTTGCATGCGGTCTCTCCCATTAAAATGTAAACTCCTTGAGGACAGAGATGATGATGCTTCGCACAGAGCCTGGCACAGGGTAGACACTTAAATGTTTGTTGACTGACTGACTGTCTGATGCTGGGAAGTTCACATTCCTTGCAAGGCAGGTGACTCTTTATGCAGGGTGTCCTAAAAGTCTGAGTGTAGCTTTCAGATTGAATAGGCCTCACTCAGACTTTTGGGTTACCCCACACACACAAGCCTTCGGGGAAGGGATCACCTTGAAGTCCCAAAGCTGGTAAATGGCAGAGCCACTTCCTATAGGGGACTTAGAGAGAAGGTGATGCCTGCAGGGTCCTGGAAGGGCAGGGAAGTCGGAGTAGTCTGGCAGAAAGAAGGCCGATTGTCAGAGCAATAGGGCAGAAGGATTGGGATTGGGACTGGGAGTCAGAGCAGTATGGTAGAAAGAAGGTTGATTGTCAAAGCAATATGGCTGAAAGAGGGCTGGATTGGGAGTCAGAGCAATCTGGCAGAAAGAAGGCTGAAGGAAGGAAGGGTGGAGATAGGATCACTTAACCTCTGTTGGCCTTAGTTTCCTCATCTGTAAAATGAGGAGGCCGGACTCAGTGTCCTCTACTGCTCTCCATCTATGAGCCTCCTGCAGTGCCTGGTTCTGGGCAGCCTCTGGGAGGCTGGCTAGTTTACACCAGGATTCCTTGGGTACCTGGCAGCGATCCCTGGAATGTGTCTGGCACAGCTATGGTGGTAGCTGGTCCTCTCACTCACCGGAGCTTTGCAGCCAAAGGCAATGATCTCCAGCACTGAGTTGTCCTCACAGCTATCCACGGAGCACAGGTCATAGAGTGACACCTGGACAGGCCCATACGTCCACTCGGTGAACTTCCGTGAGAGGTGCCGGTACTCCCCAGAGATCTCCCGCTGCAGGATGTGCTTGAAGACCTGGAAGGGAGGATGCTGGGTGAGTCCTGGGGCGGTGTGGCGTCTCTTTTCTGCTTTTTTCCCCCCAAGCAATCAGTTTCCAGAATGGGGCCTGGACTTTGGGGCCGTGAGCAGGGGCTGTCCAGAGCATTTCAAAGCATGGACTTGACAGGGACCACTACTATGTGAACTTAAGAGCCTACAATCATGAATTCAGAGCTGAAAAGGAGTTTAAAGGCCATCTGATCCAATTCCTTTTTACAAACAAGGAAACTGAGGCTCAGACAAAGTAATTTATGTAATTACAGCTATAAAGTAGGTAGGTAGGTGGCCTAGTGGATAGAGTGCCGGGCCTGGAGTAAGAAAGATCCAGGTTCAAATCCAGCCTCAGACACTTACTAACTGTACGACCCTGGACAAGTCATTTAACTGCCGTCTGCCTTAGTTTCCTCAACTGTAAAATGGAAATAATAGTTCCTACCTCCCAGGGTTGTTGTGAAGATCAAATGAGATAATATTTATAAAGCAGTGAGTAGTACAATGCCTGGCACATAGTAGGTATGATAGAAATGTTAGCTATAAAGTGCCTTGGACAAGTCACTTGTCCTCTGGGTCTGTTCCCTCTGGAAAATGTGAGGTTGGAGCTTCAAGAATCTCCTTCTCCAGCAACCTGACTTTCCAGAGAGGAAGTGGCTGGAGCTGGGACAAAGCCCGGGCTCTCCTGAATGCTCATTTCTTTCCCTCAGAAAGAGGTGTTCATGAGCCCTTGAAGACAGGCTCAATCTGAATGGCTACAGTCTGCTTGGCTCCAGGTAATGGGAATCCCAGAGATCAATGGGTCCAACGTCCTCATTTTCCAGACGAGGAAACTGAGGGCCAAAAGAAGGTAAGAGATTTGCCCACGGTCATGCAGGTAGTAGGTAGCAGAGTCAGGATCTGAGCCCAGGTCCTCTGACCTCAGTGCTCTTTCCCACAGAGGAGCCACGGATGGAGGGTGAGGACGGGCCAATTCCAGCTTGCTAGTAAGGGAAGCTTTCAAACAATCCGAGCTGTCCCCAAGTGTAATGGGCCACCTCGGGAGGGAGTGGGCTCCCTCTCACTAAAGACAGAGGCTGGAGAATGCTTTGTGGGCCTGTTGCAGAGGGCAAAACTGTAATGAGCAAGTTTTTGCCCCTGTCGCCAAGCCCCACAAAACGTGCAATTAAATTAATGTTGTAAGACAAAGCCAGTTGGGATTCTGGGACACCAAGAGACCTCTTTTGGAGAAGAGGTGGGGGAAGCAGATTCCCTGGCAGGGCTGGGGGCCTATGGCTTTGAGGCCACATGTGGCCTAGTCAAAGGGCCGCACTTGAGACCCTAGAGCAGGCCTGCCCAACTGCAGCAGCTTTCAGTCCTCAGGCCACTTGAAGCCCGCCAAAGGATTTCCTTTACATACAAAGGATGTTTTCCTCTACATTTTTCGATGGTTGCCAAGTGCTACAAACACCCAAGGGCCTTAGCCCACCTGCAGGCCACAGGTTGTGCAGGCCTCACCTAGCCACCACATGTGGCCTGGAGGCCACAGGTTCCCCACCCCTACCCTAGAGCATGGCCCTTGAAGAAGGAAGAATGACCTCTGTTAGCTGCCTATTTTCACCAGTTATAAGTAAAAAATATAACAAAATCGAAATAGAATCAAAGTCCAATTATTTCTATAATATTAATATAATATATAAATATAGTATAATCAGTGAAAGGTAATATAAATCAGTGAAAAGAGCACTAGTCCCAAAATCAGAGGACCCAGGTTCAAATCCCATCTCTGCCACGTACTATTGGTGTGACCTTGGGCATCTAAAGTCCCTTCCACCTCTAGCTCCAAGATCATATTACCCTATGATCTTCTGAACTTCAAATGCCATATAAATTTCAGTGCCCTAGGACAGCCCGCATGCTGTCTCACCTTAGTTATAGCTCTGGCAAAGGGGAGCGATATCCAGGTACAGCTTGAACCTATAAGCCTATAAGCTCCCTTCTGATTCTGAGATTCCAAAGGAAACAGGATGGGGGAGGCCCTACTCACCTCGATCTTCCCCTCCTTTGCTGCCAACTTGAGCGGCGTCAGCCCCTGGAGATTAGCGATGTTCTCCAACTTCACGGAGGGGCGGAGGCGGGCACCAATTTGGAGGATGTAGTCATACATACTGTTCACCTGGGCGCTGTTCTCCACCGAGTCATCCGCAATCATCACCAGGGCATGTAGGACAGTGTTGCCCCAGGTGTCCACAGCCTCGAGGCAGGCCCTGCGGTCAGGGTCAGGATTCTCCAGGAGGTACGATACAATATCCCATTGCCTAGTGCAGGCGGCCAAGGACAGTGGCAGCTCCCCTGGGATCAGAAGGAGGGCAGCTTGGACCCCACTTTTAAGCTCCTGTTTCCCTTAGGAACACAGATGGGGCATCTCACCTTGCCAGCCTTCCCTTCCCCCTAGACCCCTCTGCTTTTTGGTCACCAAGCTACAGATGGCAGTGGTGATGGGAAATAGCCAAACAGATTGTAGTACGTGAAGATAATGGAAATGATGAAGATGAAGAATTCAGAGAAGCATAAGAAAACTTATACGAACTGATGCAGGGTGAAGAAAACAGAACCAGGAGAAGGATATACACAATGCGCCTCCCTTTGCAGAGGTGGGGGACTATGGGTGTAGAATACTGCATATACTCAGACTCGGTTGATGCCTTGATTAGCTCTGTTGAACTGATTTCTCTCTCCTTTGTTATTCTTTATTATGAGACAGCTTTCTGGGGAAGGGAGTGGACTGGGATAATTCAGAAATAAAGGTGATATCCAAACAAAAGGTATCAATAAATAAAAATTAAATATACTTTAAATAAAATTAAATTATTTAAATAAAAAATTTAAATATAAAATAAAACCAAGAGACATAAATAAAAAAAATTTTTTAAATAACTATGGAAGAAATATGAGAATGCACTTTCTTCCCTTCTTTGCAGAGGTGGGAGGCTCCAGGTGTGGAAGACTGCATATGTTTCTCAGATTCAGCTGATGGGTTGTTGAATGGGTTGTCCCTTTGCTTTTTCCCTCTCTTTTCTATTTTTTTTTAAATGAGGGATGGCCATCTGAGTGGGTGGAAGAGTGATATATTGGGAAATGACAGATGGAAAAACCAAATATATCAGTAACACTATTTTTCAAAACTAGGTAGACAGCTATAACACTGTGCTGAGCTCAGTCCTCTGGGGTCATACATTGCCTTGTGTAGTCTGTTGGAGCTGTGGCCATGACTTCTTGGAGGCAAATTCTAAGAGCTATCTCCAGCTTATTCTTGATGCTCACTTCTACTCCTCTGCCAGCCAGACTAGGCTCAGTGAGCCCAGGTACGTAGTGATCCAGTGAAGACCAGAGATGCTCAATGAGTATTTGTCGAATGAATGAATTAAAGGTTTCTGGGTGGCAACTAGAAGAGTGCCCCTATTCACAGAATACCGCCCCCCCCAGCTCTGCCCAAGACAAATAGGCCAATGACATGCCAGGGCCAGAGCCCAGGAGAGATCTGCCCACTCACCGAAATAGAAGCAAATTCCTTGACTCTTCTTCCCAAAAAACCGCCCACTGGCCCTGGCATGGAGGTCGGCTCCGTTCTCCACCAGCACCTTCACGCACTGAAGGCTTCTCTTCTCAATGGCAATGTGCAGAGCACTATGACCTGAAGAAACAGACAGGGTGAGTAGGAGAAACCACCAAGGGAATACCTGAGGTTGACTGGACCAGTGCATGTGCAGTGCTGGAGGGAGGTCACTAAAGCATCTACCCAAGGCGGGACATGGAGAGCCTTGAAACCAAGGGGAAGAGCATGGTTTGGTATACACGTCTTATCCTTCCCAGTAGATTAATTAATAAACAACCATTTGTCGGTGCAGCTAGGTGGTGCAGTGGATAGAGCACCAGCCTTGGATTCAGGAAGACCTGATTCAAATCCAGTCTCAGACACATAACACTAGCTGTGTGACTCTGGGCAAGTCACTTAACCCCATTGCCTAGCCAAAAAAAACAGAACAACAACAAAAAAAAAACAACCATTTGTTAAGGGAGTACTGTGTATCAGGTACTTTGCTAAGCGTTGAGTGTACAGGGGCAAAAGTAAGTGTTCCCTGCCCTCAAGGAGCTTACTCTCTAAAAGAAGAGACAAGACACATAGGAAAGGGGTGGTCAGGGAGGGGTACTAGAAATCTGAGTTCAAATTCTGCTTCTGACACTTCCTAGCCATGTGACCCTGTGCAAGTCCCTCTGTGCTTTGGTTTCCTCATCTATAAAATGAGGGGGTTGGACTCATCGGCCACTAAGGTTCCTTCTACCTTTAAATTCATCATCTTATGATTCTCTGAAGTCACAAAAATGGTGAACGGTGGCACAGTGCCTAGAGTACTGGGCCTGGAGTGAGGAATACCTGAGTTCAAATCTGGCTTCAGATTCAGTAGCTGTGTGACCCTGGGCAAGTCACTTAACCTCTATTTGCCTCAGTTTCCCCAATGAGGTAAAAAATGGGGATAACAATAGCACTCACTTTCTAGGGTTATTGTGAGGATCAAATGAGGTAATAATCGTAAAGCACTTAGTATGGTGCCTGGCACATAGTAGGTGTTATATAAATGTCAGCTAGTCTTATTATTATTATTATTATATACAGGGGCATTGACTGACATGGGGACATTTTGTCAAAGTTCCTTAAGAGCAGGCATTGTGTCTCATTTATCTTTATATCCACAGAATTAATGCAGTGCCGTGCACATAGCAGATACTTAATATATTTTAACTGAATGGAAGTGAATTGAATTTTTGCAGTACATTGTAGCTGGCACTTTTTTGGTCCAGACTTGATTTCTTCACCATATGGAGAACCTGGTAAGGAAACTCCTTCTGCCAACTGTGAGACCTTAGACATGTCACTCTATCTCCCTGGGCCTCTGTTTCCTCAACTGTAAAATGAGGCGGTTGGACTAGTGACCTCAAAGGTCCATTCCCACTCCAGCCGATGATCCATCACAGCCAGCAACCATTCTACAAGAATCACCTTAAGAGAGTCACCTGGGAACACTGAGAGGTTAAGTGATTTGCCAGGAGTCACCGAGCCAGTATGTGTCTAAGGAGGGACTTGAACCCAGATCCTCTTCACCTGAGACCAGCCCTCTTTCCTCTCTGCCCTGTTGTCTGAACATGTTGTTGAGTCATTTTTCAGTTGCGTCCGACTCTCCATGACCCCATTTGGGGTTTTCTTGGCAAAGGCATTGGAGTGGTTTGCCGTTTCCTTCTCCAGCTCATTTGACAGATGAGGAAACTGAGGCAAGCAAGGTGAAGTGACTTGCCCAGGGTCACACAGCTAGTAAGTGTCTGAAGCCAGATTTGAACTCACAAAGAAGAGTCTTCCTGACTCCAGGCCCAGCATTCTATGCACTATGCGCCATCGAACTGACTCTCTCTGAACATAGCAGTTGCTCAATAAATGCTCGTCCAGCAAATGTAAGAATGAATCTTACCTTTGGACCATTCTTGTCTGTTTTTCTAGAAATTCTCTGCAGCAAAATGTGCTGACTGCCTTCCTCTGATTGTTTTAATACTTCATTATCCCTGATGCTTAACACATTGATAAGCAATTAATGAATGCTATTTCATCCATTCCTACTTTCATTCAGATGTTCATTTATCTATCCATCTATTTAATCATACATCCCTTCATTCATCATACATTTATTCGTCTATCCATTCATTCATTCATTTATACCAATGCAGCCATCAGGCAATCTACCCATCATCCCTCAAACCCACTATACAACCAGCCCTCCTCCTTTCCCACTCACAAATCTTTGATATCTTTTGTACTCTTTCTTAGCTGCCGGTATTCATTGGGAACATGTCAAAACGTGTTCATGCCCACTATTACCCTGTGGATCATTTAAGATTTTGTTTTCCTGAGAACATAGCATTCCATTATTCAAAGCTACCAGAGTATTGGTATTCAAAGGATGAGCTTTACAGCATCTAGGGATCATTGCAGGAGAAGCACCGTATCCAACATGGTTGATTTTTGCATACCTTCATTTCCCAGTAGATCCCTCCTCCACCCCACCAGAGAGATGTCCCTTCCAACAAAAATAATAACAATGCACCTTTTCATCTGAGCAGCAGGTATGTTCGATCCACTTTGCTCTGCCAGTGTGGAGGGTTAGGTCAGTCTCTTACAAATGCCTATAGATTTCACCGAAGGGCTTTTGTGGTGTTCCAGAGGCCAATGCAATGATAAAATCATAAATCTGGAGCCAGAAGGGTCCTTGGAAGCCATTAAGTTTTCACACAGATGAGGAAAATGAGGCCTAGAGAGATGGAGTCACTTGCCCACAGGTCATATAGTTAGCAAGTGTCTGAAGTGGAATCTAAACCCATCTCGACTTGATACCATGCACCACAACACCCTTCCTCCTACCCTTCATGTCTGATCCGATAGTCTTCTTGATTCTCCCTCTACAATACGGTCTTTCTCAGTTTCTTTTTTTTCATTTGCTGTCACCGCACTAGCTCAGACCCTCATCATCTCTTGCCTGGACTATGGCAAAAACCTGGTCTGTCTGCCTCAAGCCTCTGCATCTCCAATCTATCCTCCACAAAACCACCAAAATAACCGTCCTTTACCACCTCTAGGCTATACCCCCAAAAAGATCGAGGAAAGAGGGAAAGGACCCATAGCTACAAAAAATATTTATGGCAGCTCTCTTTGTAATAGTGAGGAACTGGAAGCTGCAGCAGTGCTCATCAGTTGGGGGATGGCTGAACAAATTAGGGTACATGGATGTAATGGAATACTACAGTGCCGTGAGAAATGACGAAGGGGATGGTTTCTCCGAAACTTGGGAAACTTGCACGAACTGACACAGAGTGAAGTGAGCAGAACCGGGAGAACAACTGGTACAAAACAGCATTAAAAAGACAAACAAAAATGTTAAAATTGTTTTCATGTGTATTGGGGGGGAAATAAAATATCATTTTTTAGAATGACGATCATTGGTCTTATGGTAAAACACAGGACTAGGTAATCATTGACCTGAGAAAAAAAAGGTGATGTAATCAATTCAATAAAATGCTGTTATTTTTTAGGTATTATTGTAAGAAAAAAAAAAGACAAACAGCTTTGAAAAACTTAAGAACTCCGATCGATGCAATGATCAACCATGATTCCGGGGGATGGAAGATGAAGAATGGTACCCACGTCTTAATGGAGAGGGGACGGAAGACTCTCTCTCCCTATTTCTCCCTTTTTTCATCCTTGTTTCAAGATGTTTTATCTTCTGTCGTGGTTCAGCGTATGTATTTCCACCTCCCCCTGAAGCCTTCCCGTACCCCCCCAAAGAGTGCCACTTACTCCCTTGTCCCCTGACTAGGACAGGGTCTGAGCTGAGATTCTCTGACTCTAAAGCCAGGACTCTTCTCACCTTACCACACTGCCTGCTTGAAATGAATCTGCTCCGTGGTGACGACAAACACCCTTGGGAAGCACATGTCTCCATGTTTCACGCCTTGTTGGAGGCATGAACACTTAGCAGATATTAAACAACAAAGTTGTCTCTGTGGCTGCATCTGCTGTGGACCCCTGTCGGATTTTAACATACGTCCCAAGAAAGGAGGCAACATGCTTAAGGAACGCCTTGAAGGCACCGCAGAATCAAATAAGGTTTTTTTGCAAGTCAACAAACAACAGACATTCAAGGATTTCATTAATGTCTCCTTGCCTTATTAATCAATTATATGACTGAAGATGTATTCTGTTCAAGTCTTATGAAAATTTGCCTGGTGCCTTCTCTTGCTATCATTAGGAATTAAACTCAACCAGCATTCATTAGGTGCTTAAGAGACCAGAAAGCTATTTTTCTTGACTCCTCTTGGCTCACAGAGTGGCTGGCTCTCCCTAGCTCCACTACCAATCCCCTTTGGCACAGTGCCCCATCCTTAGCCCTCACGGAGACCAAGGGACCCTCCAATAGCCTCTGGTCACCCTTCGGAGTGAGGGGCCAGACCACACGTATCTCCCCGTCGATCCAAAGCACCCATGCTCAGCTTTCAAGTCAACCTCCCTACATATACATCAAACACCTTCATAAAGATTTCACATAAAGACTTTACATCGTTGTGCGATGACTAACTTTGATAATCCTTCTCAGCAATGCAAAGATCTAAGACATCTCCAAAGGTCTCATGGTGGAAAATGCTATCCACATCCAGAGAAAGAACTATGGAGTTTTAATACAGATCAAAGCATACTATTTGCCATTTTCTTTCTTCAGTTTTGTTTTGTTTCCTCTTTCAGGTGGTTCCTCTTACTGCTTCTAATTCTTCCTTATAACATGACTAATGTGAAAATATGTTTAATAGGAAAGTATACATATAACCTATATCAGATTGTATGCCGTCTTGGGGAGGAGGGGGAGAAAAGTTTAAAACTCAAAAGCTTATGGAAGTGATTGTTGATAAATCAAAAAAATTAATAAAAAAAATAAAATAAAGACTTTACAAAGATGAAAAAGCAGGCATGTGAGTCCAGAGTCATTTCCTGTGTGAGAGAGTCAATCATGTCTTTGTTGATGTTGTTTTGGGCTCACCACATTCTCTGCCTTCTGACCCTCTTCTTAAAGGCAGAAGTCACCAGGGCGAGGCCTCTGGGCAGTCTATAAACCTTAGGCTTCTTTCTTTTCTAAATCTGAACCATTAAAGCCACAGGAAATCGGAGTAGATGGTGACTGTGCTATAAAGTTCTTCAGAGGACTTCTCTACCTAGAAGTCTGATATAAACTAATTAAAATATAACCCATAAATAAATAAAAACAAATTATAAACTATAAATAGATCAAATATAAACTATGAATAAATAAAAACAAATTATAAATAAATAAAACATAAACTATAAATAGATAAAATATAAATTATGAATAAATAAAAATAAACCACAAATTAATAAAATATAAACTAATAAATTTACAGCTGGAAGGGATCATAGAGACCATCTAGTCCATTTTACAGTTGAGGAAACTAAGGCAAACAGTCACATAAATGACTTGCCCAGGGTCATATAGCCAGTATGTGTTAGTGACAGGACTTAGACCTAAATCTTCCTAATTCTCAGGCTGGCTTTCTATCTGCTAGGCCACACTGCCTCTCAAAGTTTAGTATAAATGTGAGTTATTATTATGATTTCTATCACGCATGTAAGCAGGCTACAACATATGAACTTGAGAAGTGGCCTCCAAGATATCATCGAGGAAGTCTGTGATTGGGAAAGGTGGTGATAACAATACCTTGTCTTATGATCTTAGAATGGCAGCTAGATGGTGCAGTGGACAGAGCATTAGGCCTGGAGTCAGAAGGACCTGAGTTCAAATCCAGTCTCAGACATTTCCTAGCTATGTGACCTCGGGCAAGTCACTTCATCCTGTCTGCCTCAGTTTCCTCATCTGTCCAATGAGCTGGAGAAGGAAATGGCAAACCACTCCAGTATTTTTGCCAAGAAAACCCCAAATGGGGTCACAGAGAGTCAGGTATGCCTGAAAAATGACTCAACAACAACCACAACAAATGATCTTGGAAAATGGAGGATAAGAGATGGACCTTGGGTACTACGCCAGTATCTAAGGTATAGCAGAACAAACAGGAAACTTTCCAATGAGTTGAGTGAATTTTCTACAGAGGATTTTATGGGAGGGTACAAGCAAGAGTCGCACAAGATGAAAAGGCATGAAGGGATTGTGATCTGCACCAGTGAAGGGAATATCCACCCCTGGGAAATCACAGGTCCTCTGGAGCACTTAAACATGATAATTATTTGAAATTTCCGAGAAAACTGAGGAATAGCAAATGTAGATTGGAACTCTGCTAAAAGGTGGCTAAACTTTTTATGCCCTTTGGTCCAATGATATAACTTTGTTGTTGTTTAGCCATTTCAGTCATGCCAGACTCTTCCTGACCCCGTTTGGGGTTTTTTTGGTTTGCTATTTCCTTCTCCAGATCATTTGACAGATGAGGAAACTGAGGCAAACAGGGTGAAGTGACTTGCCCGGAGTCACACAGTTAATAAGTGTCTGAGGGTGGATTTGAACTTGTCTTCCTAACTCCAGGCCTGATGTCACCTACTGGGCATTTACTTCAAGGAGAACAAAAAACCAAGGAAATCAAAATATTCATGGAAGGCATTTCTGGGACAGCAAGAAACTGGATACATTGAGTGGGGGATGGCCAAAGCAACCATAGTATGGAAATGCAATGCAACGTTATTGTGCTCTAAGGAATCATGAACATGGAGAATTCGGAGGAACTTGAGAAGACCTCAGGTCCTAGTTTTAGGCTAAAAAGGGCCTAAGACATCATCTAGTTACCTAAGGTGACTGGGCTAGCTAGTTTAGGTCATCTAGAAGGCATCTTGTTAACTTACGGATGAAGAAATTGTGGTCAAGAGACATTAAGTAACTTACTAAAGGCCCTCAGTCAATAATTGGTAAAGCTGAGATTTGAACTCGGATCCTATGTCTCCACATTCAATGCTTACAGAGGGAGGTAAATGGTTTCAGTTGAAAGAACAGCATGAGGGGCAGCTAGGTGGCATGGTGGATAGAGCACTGGCCTTGGCGTCAGGAGGAACAGAGTTCAAATATGGCCTTAGCTAATTACTGGCTATATGACCCTGGACAAGTCACTTAACCCTGTGTGCCTCAGTTTCCTTATCTGTAAAATGAGCTGGAGAAAAAAATAGCAAACTGCTCCAGTATCTCTGCCAAGAAAACCCCAAAATGGGATCACAAAGAGTCAGACATAACTGAAAACGACAACAAAAATACCTAGGCTTACTACATTCCTACTTTTCAAAAGTATCCTCTCCTTTCTGGTCTCATTTAAATCTCACAACAAACCTGTGACATGGATAGGACTGGGCTTCTTCTCCCCCATTTTACAGCTGAGGAAACAAAAACTGGGCGAGTTTAAACAATAAACTGGAAGTCAAGTGACCTGGATTCTGGTCCCAGCTCTGTCACTAGCCTCCCTAAGTGACTTGGATCAAATCATTTCCTCTCTCTGAGCCTCAGTTTCCCCTTCTGAAAAATGAAGGGGTTCAACCTGACGATCTCTAAGGTTCCTGGAAGCGTAAGAATTCGGTGGTTTTGTGGCTCACTCGAGGCTGCCAGATCAATAGTTAGGGACTGGAAAACCCAGGTATGTCGTGCCTTCCAGGTATGTCTCGGTCATTCCCCTGCTCCCCTCTTACCTTTGTAATAGTCCCCAGTGCACACGGCCTTGATGAGAGGCTGGGGGTTCTGGGTGGCGTGGTCAATCTGTAGCAGCGGTAAGATGCACTCATTCATCCCATCCCGGAGATTCAGCACAGCCTTCATCAGGCAGGTTTTCCCAGTGGAGGCGTCTGTCAGGGAGGTTAGGTGGGGCAAAGGGAGATAAACAGAAAGGGATCAAATGCCTGACCTTCATGTTCTAATCAACTCAGCCTCAACCTTGCTAATGCCAATACTGGTTTTCCATGAATCCAATGGGATCTCTCATCCTCAGGCCAATCAATCAACAAGTCCTCTTCAGCTCTATGGTATACCGAGGCCTATGTCAGCTAAATATAAGACACACGGTCCCTGCCCTCGGGAGTCCATAGTCTAGTTAGAAAGATATGACTCTAACATATGAAATAACTAGAGAAGATTATAGGACGATGTTTATTATAGGACTGGCTGCCAATTCAGTCTTTGAATGTGTTGTATAGACTGGAAATTTTAGAAGAGATTGGAGAAGGCTGGTGTAGTCAAAAAAGGCTTCCTGTAGGAGGTATAACTTAATCTGGATCTGGAAGGCCGGGGAGGGATGGGCACTTAAATGTGTAGGCAAAAGCACAAATGTAATGATGAGCTTGTCATTAACCCAGTGTGGCAGCACTACCCCAATCCCTCCCCCCCAGGTAAGTCAGGCTAAATTGTCCTTAAATGGTATTGAGATCACACTTGAGTCTTGGTTGATTCCAAAGACTAAGGTTGAGGCTGTTGGCATCACTTCCTGGTCACCTGAGTACAAAACAGCCCTGAGGAGCTCCAGGGGTGCTTGGACACTTGACTGAGGGATCTCGGTGGGTAACTCAGGAAAGGGAGCTTCCTTCAGCTGAATCAATTTGGGGGGATCCTCAATACCTGTCCTTGTTGAACACCCTTCTCCTGCTTTGGCCAAGTAAATGACATGTCCTTTTGCTAACTGTTGGATGACTTTTGAGTGTCTCATTTTGTTCCAATATCAGATCTGAACTCCTGGGGGAATTTAGATTACTAGCCTGAGTCAGGCCCAGCCCAGCCCACCTGGAGGTCCTTGAGGACTATGGTCAGACTAGGGTACAGCATTTGCTGGAAACAAGGTCAGATTACACTGAGACCAGGAAGGGAGCTCCTAGGATCATAGATAGAAAGCTGGAAAGTCACTGAGCCTAACCCCTTCATTTTACAGAGGAGGCACAGACAGGTTCAGTTATTTGCCCAAGCTCACACAGCTAGCTCACAGAGGAACAGTAGCTCGCAAGTCATAATGTTTTAGTGTTTACAAGAACCCCTTACTATGAGTTCTTCTTGTACCCTCCACCCCTCCAATCTGGGACCCCAGGAGATTGACTAAGAGATAGGGCAGAACAGGTGGTTGACCCTGGGCTCAGCCCTGAGAAAGTGGTATCGACAAGGGGCTACTGTTAGACAGTTCTACTTTTCCCACTGATGTGAGAAATAGATTTCATTGATATCAATGCACATGGCTGCTTGTCACCATTTCTGCATCTAAGTCATCAGAGAAGGACAAAGTTTAGGCTTCGTATTGAGAACTGTAACTGGGGCCGGGCCACAGTGGCTTTGCCTCAGAGCGCACACATTAGGATATAGTGGAGCCCTTCAACAACATAGGAGCATCTGAGCTTAGAGCCTAGTTAGCAAGAATAATTCGTTAAAGTAGGAAGTGATCATGGGCTCCTGGATCTCTGTCTCCTCTGGCATGGGGCCTTATGTCCTGGGCTCTTTCTTCTCCTTTCATTTGAATGTTTATTAAAAAGCTGAACTGAGAGAATATGCCAGGCAGGTTTTATGGAATTTATCCCTTGCTCCCCCCTCCCCTCCCCACACCAAAATTGCTGATTACAGCTCTGTGAATATCGCCCATCTGTCCCATTGGGCCAAAAGAACCTAGAACTCTTTATGGAACATGGACGAGCCCCATGCTGACCATCTCAGGGTCCTTTGGCAACATTAAAACAGTTTACTGTCTACCCAGTAAGAGTAATTCGTTACACGAGGAACCAAGCATGAGATGTACTTCCTCCTCACCATCCCCAACCCTGACAGCACCAGAGTGAGCTCATCCCTGGCTTACCCTAATTTCCTGTCTTCCAAACCACCACCACAGCCTCCCCAAGCAGGAGTGGCCCCATAGGCGCCCCCTGGGCTGTTCATGGTGCTTGCCTTGGGTGCAAAAAACTGCTAGTAGCAGCTCAGGGGGCCATACCTGTGAATTCAGAGTCCGTGAGATACTTGCTGGTCAACATCAGATACTCCAGCAAACCACCCAGGCTGTCCGGGTTTCCCCCCATCACTGCATTGAAGAGTCGGTCACGGTCAAAACGGTTTGGATCTGAAGGGCTGCCAAGGGACCCAGGAGAAACAGGAGACAGAGAAGGAGATTAAACTGGGCTATGTCCCACTAGGGAAAAATCTCTGCCCCTGTAGTGAATTTGGTTTCAGAGGCCCCACTACTGACCCCTCAGCCCTGAGTGTTGACCAGATGACTTCCAAGGTCCCTTCCAGCTTCAACATTCTACGAACCTAGTTAGATGCCAACCCGTTATGATCTGCCCCCAAGACCTCAGAATATTGGATTCTCCCAGTATCCAATGCATTTTGTAGTATTGATGACTGATTAAGAATCACATGGTTGATTTAAAACTGGAAGAGACCTTGGAGGTCCAATCCTTTCATTTTACGTAGGTTCCCCACCCCTGGATTAAACCAAGGCCCATGAAAATTGGGAGAAACACAGGGAAAGTCAGTTTCCAGGCTATTCTAAAGAGGGAGAAAACCTGGGATGGGAGGGCCATCAAGAGCCTATATGGGAAGAACACGGAAGGTCTTTTTCCCAGCTCCCTCTCCCTCTATCCAACCCCCCAATTAATATACTCTCTTCAGTCTCCTCCTTGATGGACCAAGATTGGTCTTGGGGATAAGGACCGTGGATTTAAAAGCAAAAGGGATATTAGAGATCCAGGGGTTGGAACTGTTGCATCATGGATCCATTGGGCAGTCTGGTGAAGCCTAGGGATCTCTGCTCAGAATAATGTTTTTAAATGCACAAAATAAAATGCATAGGATTACCAAGACTAATTACTGTATCAAAATGTAATTAATGAAATATTTTTTAACGAGTTCACAGACTCAGGTTAACAATCCCTGAACTAGTCCCATTTTACAGATGAGGAAAGTGAGGCCCAGAGAGATGATTTGTCCATGGAAAGAACCAGGAATACCCATTAAGACAAGCCTGATCCCCAAATTATTGTTACACGGAGCCTTCTGCTTACCTGGGACCTACTCCTTTCCGGTAATTAAGATTAACTTTTATCTGAGGGGAGAAGCTCTTGCTCTCTTTCTGGAAGGCCGACTCCATGGGGGGCAGCTGGTCTCTAGATTCTTTCTCTTCCTCAGCGGCAGCAGCGGCCGCTGTGCCCCCTTCCTGGTCACCTTCCGTAGTCTCCAGCCGGAAGGCCTGCGCTCTGGCTGGCTCAGGCATCTTGGGGCGGAGGTGGGTACCCTGTCTTCTCTCTTCCCGGAGGTTCTTAGGACCTTCCTAAGAGGTCGTCTTCAGAAAGAAAGAGATTCAGAAAGGTTTTGCAAGGCCAGGCAGGAACAGAGAAAGAAACAAATGTTTTCCAAGGCCAGGGGCGTGGGCGAAATCAAAGAGCGCCACGAGAAAGTAGGAGAGCCAATGCCAGCCTGGGAGGTGATGGTTGGGGGTGGGGGTGGGGGTGGGAGAAGAGTCTTAGAAAGAGACTAGAGAGGTGGCGGTGGAGTCAGGAAGACCTGGGTCCTGGCTGCGTGATCCTGGGCAAACCACTGAACCTCTCTGAATCTGAAAGTTATTTAATAACTTAATAAATGATTTAGTTTAATAATTCATAGTTCAATAAATTAAGTCAAAAACACAATCTATCCTATAACACCAACATGGTAAAGACAAACAATTTTGAAAAATTTAAGAAGTCTGATCATTCCAGAGGACCAATGATAAAACACGGTCCCTACCATGGGTTAACATGCAGACTGAGACGCGCAGTTTTTGACGTGGTCGATATGGGAATTTGTTCTGCTTGACTATATTTATTTGCTACAAGGGTTTTGGTTCTTTTTTTTTTCTAGTGGGGGGGGAGTAGGAAGGAAACAACAATAAGTGCTTTAACAATTGAAAAAATAAAATAAAGACCTTAAGTTACAACATCGGGGGCTCACTGGTACTGGGAGAGATTTTCCTTCTCAGGAATTCCCTGTGCCAATGAAATCACAGGTCTGCCCCCACTTATGTTTATGTCTATGTCCATGTCCGTTTCCATGTCTGTGTCTACATATATTACACATGTATACATACATGCACACGTATACATGCATGCACACATATACATACATGCATACGGATACATGCATGCACACGGATACATACATGTATACCGCTTGGGTCTTTGGCCTTAATTTTGCTTGGACTGGGAAGAAGAAGGCTACCCTAATGAAGAGAAAGACTTTGGGCCCAGATGGCTGGAGATAGGCCCTGTTGCATCCACCTTTGTGCCTGGGGAGGGAGGTGTGCTGAAAGTGAAGTTGAAGACCCCTCCGGTCTTTGATCAAGACTTCTGAACCACAATCCCTTGGCTTAAAGTCAAGGCTGTGTGGGACCTTGGAATGTGGAGGCAGAAGATGCGGGTCGGGACCACAGCACCCTAGATTTAGATCCATGCCTGTTATTTTGCAGATGAAGAAACAGCGTCCAAGGAGGGGAAATTACTTTCTCAAAGACTAACTGGTAGAAGTAGTAGGTAGAAAGTGTAAGCCTTAGGTATCAGCCCCCTGCCTTGGGACTTTCTTAGACGTGGAAGGGTGGTGATAACTAGTAACTTTTGTTGTTCAGTTGTTTCAGACTCTTCATGACCCCATTTGGGGTTTTTTATTTTTTTGGCAAAGTGACAGATGAGGAAACTGAGGCAAACAGGGCGAAGTGACTTGCCCAGAGTCACACGGCTAGTAAGTGTCGGATTTGAGCTCAGGTTTTCCTGACTCCAGGCCCAGCACTCTATCCACTGTGCCACCTAGCTGCCCCTAATTTGTAACTAGTAAAATACTAGTAAAGTGTTTTACTAAGACAGGTTAGGTCTAGGATACAAATGTGAGCATTTGCAAATCCAGGTCTTTACTGGGGAGGCAGGAAGGGCAGGGCGTAGTAATGTAACCAAGATCTTCCCTGAAGTTCTAAGACCAGCTATATAAGCCAATGTGGGGGTGAAAGCTTTGGATCTGCTGGGGGGAAACTGCAGAAAGAAAACCATGGATTTGGTTGGAGATAAAAAAAACAAAAAACAAACAGGGTGGCTGGGTGGTGCAGTGAATAGAGCACCAGGACTGGAGTCAGGAGGACCTGAGTTCAAATTTGACTTCAGACACTTACTAGCTGTGTGACCCTGGGCAAGTCACTCAACCCCGATTGCCTCCAAAAAATAAAAACCCAAACCGCTAGGATTTTAACCCAGGTTCTATGCCTCTGGAGTCAAACGTCTTTCTACTGCAATGTCCTGTTTTGCTCTGCTGTTTAAGAGCTTTGTCTCCTTTGGCAGGAGGCTGGTGTGTCCTGGGTGTGCCAGGCACAGGGCTTCTCTAAAAAGAGGGCTTTGCATTTTAATTTAATTGCATAATGCTCTTTTACTTTGAGCACCAAATGACAACATCCTCACCGTCATCATCATCTCACACATTACATAACCCTGCAGCGGTACTGACTTGTTGGAAATGGGACTTTTGGGACAGCTTTGTGAAGATTTCTGGGAGAGAGAATTTGGGAACAGGTGTGGGGAAGCCACTGTCTAAGAGAACACAGGGTTATGTCTTGGTAGTATTTTAAGGATTATAGAGGAGGGTGTGCTATGGAAGATAGAGAACTGACCTTTAAGCCAAGAAGACCTGGGTTCGAGTCCTGCTTCTGGCACATACTGGCTGCAGGACTCTGGACAAGTCAGTAAGCCTCTCAATGCTCTAGACAATTCTCTAAGACAATAAATTGCAGGATGTTGCTGACCAGAATAGAGTGCTGGGCCTGGAGTCAGGAAGACCTGAGTTCAAATATGACACTTACTAGCTGTGTGACCCTGGGCAAGTCATTTCACCCTGTTAGCCTCAGTCTCCTCATCTGGAGAAGGAAATGACAAACCACTCTAGTATCTTTGCCAAGAAAACCCCTAGTGGGTTCACAGAGATCAGATGTGACTGAAAAACAGCTGACCAACTAGCTAACCAGTATTGGTGGAGGGAATTTCCTCACCCAGGAATTCTCCAGACTGCTAAAATAGGTCCAGTCTTTCTCTCTTTAAGATTTTCAAAGCATTTTACATAGGTTGCTTCATTTGATCCTCCCAGAAGCCCTGAGAAGTAAGTGCTTTTCTTAATCGTATTTTGCAGATGAGGAAATTGAGACTGAGAGAGCTTATGTGCCTTCATCATCATCATCATCATCATGTCTCTCTCTCTCTCTCTCTCTCTCTCTCTCTCTCTCTCTCACACACACACACACACACACACACATACACACACACGCATACCTGTCCGACTTCAAGTCCAGCTCTCTATCCACACATTTACAGAAAGCCTACAGGATAGAAAGTCCACAGTCATTGACAGCATGAGCCCCCACTAACAAACTGAAGCACAGCCACTGGTACCACCCTCCCTTTCCCGTCCTTGTTTTGGGCAGCTTCAGTTAGCTTATCATCTGGTTAAAGAGACAGATTGTGAAAATGGACTGCATCCTCGTAGATGCCTGCTCATCACTACAGGAAGAAAAAAAAATCAGTATTTGTGTCACATTTTTCAAGTTTCTATTTTTAAGCAAAGTTTAGTTAACTTAAAAAATAAGTTTAGGAGTTTTTTTTTTAGTTTGATGAATAAAAATAATATCCCCAACGATTGAATGTTCATACATCCTTTCCATTGCATCACAGCAACTCCTTATAAGGTAAAAAAAAAAGCCCCTTCCAGCTCTGAATCAATAGCGCTAGAGTGGAAAGGAGACTGGGGGGAGGGAGGGCTGTAACCATGGAGACAGTTTACTCCTGGGCAATCCCACTTTCTGGTTCTATTGGAGCTGTGCAGGGTTTTCCAGTAATCACAATCATGGCAACAATAGTGAAAAAAAAAAAGGGTGATGGCCCACGTTAATACATAGCTCTAAGGTTTGCAGAATACTGTATAGACTGTCCCATCATGTCCTAGAGAACATTCACTTTATCTTGTTTATATGGAGGAAGGTCACAATCCCCTTACTCTGGAGCTGGGGGTGGGGAAGGATGGTTGGGAATCCTATACCTGGGTCGCCCAGCCTGATCAACTTTATTATTGAGTATTTCATAGAAGATTCAAGCTTGGAGGTCACATTGTCAGGATGTCAGGCTGGAAGGAGCCCTAAATTTGATATCAAAGACCTTGAATTCTACTCTCAGTTCCCTGAACTATCTGCCTTGGGCAACCCCATTTGGGGTTTCCTTGGCAAAGATACTGGAGTGGTTTGTCATTTCCTTCTCCAGCTCATTTGACAGATGAGGAAACTGAGGCAAACAGGGTAAAGTGACTTGCCCAGGGTCACACAGCTAGTAAGTGTCAAATTTGAATTCAGGTCTTCCTGACTCCAGCACTCCATCCTGGTCAGCAACTTTCTGCAATTTATTGTGTGAGAGAATTGCCTAGTGACCTTGGGCAAATCATTTCCCCCCATTCATACTCCAGTTTCCCCATGTGTACAACAAGAGAAGGGGGAATAGTGTGGACTAGATACTATCCAAATGAGTTCTATATTCTACCTAGATTCTAAGTCAATGTCTTTGTTGTACATATGGGGAAATTCAGACCTGGAGAGGGGCAGGGACTTTGTCTGAGATTAGCTACTTGGGGCCAGAGTCAGGACTAGAACCCAGGGTTCTTTTCACTGCATCCCACACACTCCCTTTTCTAGATTTCTCCAGACGCTTTGGAAGTCCATGGCTGAGCAAATTGTGCCATGTGAATGGAGTGGAAAAGCAGATTTTCCCATGCTTTGCCAAATAGGCTGGATGTAAGGAAATGAGGTTTTGTGGAAGGAGATACTTCCCAACCATCCAAGCTGTTCATAAATGGACAGGGCCACCTCGGGAAGTGAGGGGCCTTAAGCAAAACTCAGATTAGGAAATGACAGAGATGAGGAATTCAGAGAAACATGGGAGGATTTTCAAGAATTTATGCAGAGAGAAGCAAACAGAGCCAGAACAAGATAAATGGTGACTGCAGTGAGGAAGTGATGCAATAGTTAGGTGATGGAATAGTTAGAGTGCTGGTCCTGGAGGCAGGAAGACCTGAGTTCAAATCCAGTTGCATAAACACTTACTGGCTATGTAACTCTGGGCAAGTCATTTAATCTGTCTGCCTCAGTTTCCTCGTATGTTAAAAAACAACCTCCCCAGAGTTGTTGTAAAGATTAAATGATATAAGTGACCCTGGGAAAGTTGCTTAACCTCTGTCTGCCTTGGTTTTCCTATCTATAAAATGGGGATAATAATAGCACCAACCTCTCAGGTTTATTGTAAGAATCAAATGAGATAATAATTATAAAACATTTAGCACAGTACCTATAATATAGTAAGTGCTACATGAACATTAGCTATTATAATAATTATATATTAGTAATATTTATTAACAGCATACAATATATAATAATGTCATATGGCATTAATATCATATTATACTGTGTATATCATTAATAATTATATTATAATGATAACCATAACAACATAGTATAGTAGCATATTAATATTGTATTATATGTAATATATAATCTACACTATTACTCTCATATAGTTTGCAATACATTGTTGATATTAATGTATTATTGATATATTATAATACTATTATGCGTTGTTAATAATAGTATACATTAATATCTTATGTAAATGAAGAGGCCGTTCAAAGGACGCCAGCCTCCATGTAACTGAAAAGCCCTGAACAGCCCTGGAGAATCTGGAGAACAGATCCTGACACACAGTTTCCTTGCCTTAAAGAGAAGTGGGAGCCTCTGGGCCGGAATGCTGCATCCATCTCCAGATAAGGAGGCAATGGCATGGTTGATTCTGTTGAATGTTTTTCTTTGTTATAAGGGAGGGTTCCATTTTGGGATGTGAATGTCTAGAAATGATTATGATGGAAAAGTAGAAGGAACCGATAAAAGTTTGTTTTTTTCAACAGTCACTTTTCTGGGAACCTGTTTATACTTTCCACCTGCATCACTAGTCTGGATAATCACTGAGTCCTTCTGTGGAACTCTGGGCAGGCCCTGAAACCTGTGGGATGATGTCACCAAACAGAAAAGTCATTAGCAGAGAGGCAGCATGGTGGAATGGAGAGAGAACCTCTGGGTCAGTCAGACCCGGGTTCGAGTTCCGCCTTTGACACTGGTTATGTGATCCCGGACAGGACATGTTACCTCTCAGTGCCCCTGGCACTAAACTATATTAAAATATCTCAAACTCTCTTACGTGGCAGAACAGATGTAGCTGTACATAGGGAGAGGGCAGCCCTCACCAGAAGCTCCCCACATACTGATGAAATCAAAGATTCACTCAAATACATATATTTTATATAAACATATGTGTATATGACATATATGCATATAAATATATATATGTACAAACCCAAACACGTGTGTGCATATTGTTACATGTATGTATTCCCAGAAGATGTCATTGTGAAAGCTGGAGCACCCGCAAACTCCCCAAACATGTTGCCAAGGCAAGCTCCGAGTTCCTGGAGTTCCCGGCCTTCAGTCCATGGCAAAACACTGAGCACTAACCATTAGCTTGCCGTGCCTAGTTCTCCAGTCTGGGCCCCTCCATAAGGCCCTACCTAGGGCTCTGTGGCCCACATAAGGGAGCTTCCTGTACTGTATAACGTCACCCTCATGGGCCAACTGAAACCACAGCTGTCACGAGGGCATGGTGGCCAGGCCTTCTGAGGGTGGGGAAGTAGTTCTATGACTCCTGCTCCCAGGGCCCCTCTCTCCTGCTCAGCTCTGGGATGGCAGGGGCAGCCTCAGTCTACCAGAAGTCAGGGTAGGGAGAGATGAGGCTAGGAAGGGGAATGGAGGGTGAGAAGAGGATAGGAAGGAAGAGAAGAAGGGAAAACAAGAGAGAGGGAAGGCAGGACCAGGGCAGGGAGGGAGGCAGGGGTAGGACAAGAGAAGAGAGGAACGGAAAAAGGGTTTGGGACAGGGAAGGGGACACAGGGCCGAGCACAGGCCCAGAGTTTGAGGTGGGGCTAGAGACAGGTGTCAGTAACAGGGACAGAAGCCAGGGAGAGGGACATGGCAAGGCAGGGTAGGGGAGTTCATCCGAGCCCCCGGAGCCGTTGAGCTCCCTCAGGCCTGGGTGGGGCTGCACTCTTCACCCAGATAGAGCTGCTTGCTTGCTGAAGCAGCTGTGACCATGAAACCTTGATTCATAGCTTCTCATTACCATAGGCTCTTAAGTCTGAAAGCCATCTTCTGGCTGGCTGCCGGAAGGATGGCTCCCTTCGACAGGCGTGCCTGGCCCCCTGTCCCTCCTCTCGGTCTCCTGCTCCCCAGAGTCTCAGCTTCCTCCGCATCACCCCTGCACCCCACTTTCCTGACCCAGAGCCCCACCCGGAATCAGGCTGATGCCCCTCAGGCATCGGCACCCACCGGCCTCTCCCGCTGTCTGACATGTCTCTTGCCTTCCCCCTTTTCATCTCTGTCCTCCCTACAAGGAATTCACAGCTGTCTTTATCAGGTCTCACGCCAAACCAGACCCAGTGGGGGCAAAGGGTCCAGAGGTCCAGAGAGAACCGTCTGGAGCCCTGCCCTACTCCTCCTCCCCAGCCAGAAACACAAAGAGAGACCCCCTCCTCCTGCCCCATTCCCCTCTGCTCCCACCAGCACCCATTCATTTGTAGGGTCCTCTGACAGCCTGGACAGGTTCAGAGAAATGGGAATAGCCTTAGCTACTTACCCCAAAGGAGACTGCACAGCTGCCTGCCGTGGGTTGGGGATGGACAGGAAAGTGAGCACTCCTGGGTTCTGGGGCTAGGTCCCCTGGTCAGGCTCAGGGGGAGCCCTGGCAGGGCTGGAGGTCCAGAGGCTAGACAGGGATGCACTAGACCCTGATCATCCCGAGAGGTAGTAAGAAGAGCAAGGAGGAGGAGAGGGGAGGGGAGGCTACAGGAAGGCACCTCCTCTAAGGGGTGTGCCCTGTCTTGGTTCCCCCCTATAGACGCACACACACACTGCTCTCTACCCAAGCAAGTCTCCTGCGGGGTGATAAGGAGTTAACTCCCTCCTGCCTGGTCAGCAGATGGGCCGATGGGAGCTCCAGAAGTCAGGAGTCAAGGGTGACTCCCGCCAGCCCGCTGGAAGAAATCAGAGATGCCTGGCAGCCTGCCAGAGCTTCTGGGAAGAAGCCACTGTCCAGCGGGGTCTTGGGACAAAGTTGGCACCCACCAGTACTGCATGCTGGTCTCAGTGCTGGGAGGTTGGGTGATGACTGGGTCAGAGCAGATGGCCTGCTCGATGCAGGGGAAAGTCCTGGCCCTGGAACCAGAACCCTTGGGTTCAATTTCCCCCTCTGATGAGTACTTCCTAGGTAACTGACTTCCTGGGGCCTCAGTTTCCTCATCTGTCAAACAAGGCTGGACAAGTTGGCTTCCAGCTCCAGACCTATGAATCCCTGCCCGCTTAGCTGAGGGATACCAGGTGGTGTCTGGGCCAATTCCTCCTGACTTTCTCTGGTCGTTGGAGCTGATACCACACTGGCCTCTGTATTCATCTACACTCTCCCTCCTTGACCAAGCCTCTGAGGACACACTTGGTGGGGTGCTGGAGGGCTGCTTCCCCACAAGGACCTTCATTTGTGCGCCAGTCTAAGGCCAAGGGCTCAAGCCCAGAAGGTCGGGCTATCTTTTTCCCCCGGCTGAGAGTGAGGAGAGGCCTGATATAGGAACCAGGAACCCTAAGACAGCTCCCTCTAAGTGTCTGAGAATGCAGCTTGGTATAGTGGGAAAGGGCTGGATTTGGAGACAGAGGACCTCTCTGTGAACCCCAGCTCTATCACTCACTCTACATTCTAGCCAAACCGTCCTTGTTGTTCCCTGTACAGGACATCCCACCTCCCACCTCTGCACCTTTGTGCGGGCCTTTCCCCACGCGTGCCTGAAATGCTCTCCCTATTCACCTCTGCCTCTTGGAAACCCTACTTACAAGCTGTCTGCTAAGCCTGGCCCATCTTGACCTGCTCGGTTACTAGTGAATCAGAATTACTCAGACCCCCAAATTACTTTGTAAGTAAATTCCTTTTGCTTATCTGTGTTTCACCCCAATAAAAGCTGATCTCTATTGAAAGCAGAGACACTTAGAATTTAGTCTACATACCCAGCGCCTAGCATGGTAATAATTCCTGGCAAACAGTAGGACTTAACAAATAAACGCTTGTTAGATTGGGGGGGCAGCTAGGTGGCGCCATAGTGCATAGAGCACTGGGGTTGGAATCAGGAAGACTCATCTTCCTGAGTTCAAATTCAGCCTCAGACACGTACTAGCTGTGTGACCCTGGGCAGGTCATTTCACCCTGTTTGCCTCAGTTTCCTCATCTGTCAAATGAGCTGGAGAAGGAAATGGCAAACCACTCCAATATCAGACATGACTGAGTAACAACAGATGGATGGGTGAATGAATGGATGAGTTTGCTCTTGACCAAATCCCTGCCTCTCTCAGTGCCTTGGTTTCCTCCTCTGTAAAATGAGGTGGTTGGGCTGGCTGACCTCTGACCCCCTTCTTGCTGTCACATTCTATGCACCTACTTTATTCCTGTGCACGTGCTTCCTCTCATGTTCCACGTGAGCTCCAGAACCAGTTCCACAATGAAGCCCTCGGTGCAGAGCATCTCTTCGTCCTGTGTATGAGACAATCGGCCTCAGAAACTGGAACGCTTCCTGTTGGGCGGCCAGCAGGGAGAAGAGAAACCTCAACGTCCCTTGGGAAGAAACTCTTGAGGTTTTGGTAGGGTTTCCTCAGGCTCCAGACCACCCTCCCCCATCACCCCTTCTTCTCCCCCGTACCCAGAACCAAACCTGCACCACCGTCCAGCAGTCTTATAATAGCTCATGTCAAATGAGGCGTAGCACCATCCCCGATGGAAAGCTGGCCTCAGGACACTGGGCCCCAGCGCAGCCTCTGTCGCACACAGGCTGGATGACACACATGTGTCCAGGCCCTGACACATGTCCAGGGCCGGATGACCTCTCCTCAGTGGTCCAGACAGCCGGGCCTGACCTGATAAGACTGCAGATCACAGAGCACGAGTAACGCTGTCCTGGTGGAATTGACTCCTTGGGAATCCCCTCTCCCAGTGAGGTTCAGCTCCCCCCTCCCCTCCCGCCTAAAACAGATGGAGAAGAGACCGGGTGGTGCAGTGGACAGGAGCTGGCCTCTGAGCCAGGGAAGCCAGGGAAGCCAGGGTCCGAGTGCCACTCCCCTCATTCACCTGCCCGCCTCATTCCCTAAGACCCCAAGCTTAAGTTTAAAATTCATTCTAGCACTAGAGGGAGTCTCTTCCTTAGGCGTTCCCTGAACTTACTCAAGGAAACCCTTTTCTCCTGCCCAGCTGATGTTGTGTCATTTCATCGTGTCCAACTCTTCATGGCCCCATCTGGGGGTTTTCTTGGCAAAGATACTGGAGTGGTTGGCCATGTCCTTCTCCAGTTCATTTTACAGATGAGGAAACTGAGGCACACAGGGTGAAGTGACTTGCGCAGGGTCACACAGCTAGTAAATGTCTGAGGCTGAATTTGAACTCCAGGCCCAGCACTCTATCCACTGTGTCACCTAGCTGCCCCCTGCCCAGCTATCCGTTTATTACTTCATTAAGTTATCTGTTTCTTCCTTCCTTCAACAAGCATTTATTAAGCACCTACTATATACCAAGCAGTGTTCTTGGTGCTGAGGATACAAAGCCAAAAATGAAACCGTTCCTGTCCTTGAGGAATTTCCATTCTAGAAGGACAGGCGCGCATGCGCGCACACACACACACACAGACACACACACACACACAGACACACAGACACACACACACACACAGACACACACACACACAGACACACACACACACAGACACACAGACACACACACACACACACACACACACACACACACACACACACACACACACGATGCCAGTCACCAGGAAAGGCCTCATGGAGAAAGCAGCCCCTGACCTAAGCCGGGGGTGGCCAGGGCGGATTCCAGGTAGAGCAAGGAAAGCCTTTGTTCACTCAGCGGCTCCCAGGGCCCAGCCTCTGGCCCTTTTTATGTCTCATCAGGCACAAATTTCATTCTGATTGGGGCAGGAAAGGAGTTCCCTATTAGAAGAATTTCAAATTCCACTGAGGTAGAGGCAGCAGGAGGTCTTTTGTAGCTGGGGGCTCTCCCAGCACCCTGAAATCACATCGACAGGCAGCCGCCCATCGGCCCAGTCACTCCCCTCTTATCAAAGCCAACATTCTGGCTGTAGGCAAGGCTACCCAGAATTGTCAGCTTGGGGGTGGGGGGGCCTGTGAAGGGAGGATGGGCTCCAGAGAGCAAGATGAGGGGTGTGTCTCGGTGGGGAGAGGGGTCCCCTTGTAGGCCTGAAATGTGAGTTCCCAACACCGTCTGTGGCTCGGTGGTTAGTGCCACCTCAGACTTAGATGACTCTCCCTGAGTTTCAGACTCGGCCCCCACCATCTGCTTTGCCACCACACGCCAAGGTCCACAGGGACTTTCCATCTGTTGAAGCTGAAACCTCCTCCATATGGGGTTTCTCCCTTTGAGAGTAGGGTCTGTTTGCTTTTCTCTTTGAATGCCCATCCCTTAGTACAGTACTTTGCACATAGCAAGTCCTTAATAAATGCTTGTTACTTTATTCACTCATTCATTCATTCATTCACCCCCAGCTAGAACTCAGTAGAACCCGGGTTGGCCTGAACCATATTGAGAGGCTTGAGGACTTCCTCTCAGTCAGAGGGAGGATGGGCTCTGAGGGAGGGGAGGCAACCCTGAGAATTTCATTTCATTAAAAGAATCCCTCCTCTTCTTTCTGCTCACTCAAGATGCATCAGCATAAAATCAAACTAACATAGATCCACAAGAGATAAGGCTGCCTTGGCGGAAGCGGGGATCTGATCCAGGGAGGGGGAGATACTCTCAGAGTGTTTCTGCATCAAGGACAGTTATGGAAACTCAATGTGGGAAGAGATTTCAGTGAAACTCTCCAATGCAAAAGTTCCCTCTGCTCCTGAGGCAACCCACTGCACCCGTCAGCTTGAATTCTTAGGAAATTGTTCCTTCCATTATATTTGGGGGAAGAGATTAGTACGGGGTGGGATATGCTAGTGTAGAAACTCCTAAGAGATTGGCAATGTGTCTACTGCCTTCTTGGGATAGAAAGTGCCCATCCATTACCAATGTTTGTAGGATCAAAGCTGGAAGGGACATTAAAGGTCATGTAGCCCAACCCAGACCCTCAGCCTCCAGATTCCATGGTACCACACTCTCTCTGCTTCAAGTCACAGAGTTCAAGAGTCTGGAACAGAGACCGACAGTATCTTCATACCCACTTACAGCTGCCTTCCTCCCCAGGGACAGAGGACCAGAAAGGCTGGATGATCCCTCATTGGGCTATGCCAACTCCTCTCTTGTCTTCTTCCAAACCTTGCCCCATCTCCACCTGGGCCTGCTGGGGTTCAAAAACCACCAGCACTGGAAACCCCCTCCCCTTGTTATCCCCCTCTCCCCAGGCCTTCCCCCTTCATACTGGCCCATGACTCACTCAGCTTAGATGAGAGAGGAGACAAAACAAACCTTACCATTTTCCCTATAGTTGTCCCCTAAAGTTCCCCACTCCTTACCATCTGCCCTCCTCTACACCCTGAAGTCCCTCATCACCCTCGCCTAACCCTGGCATCTCTGAGTCCCTGCCATCTGCCCTGAAGCTGACTTTCTTTTGTGTTTTTGTATCTCCCAATCAGTGTATGAGCTCCTTGAGAGCAGGGACCGTCTGATTATTGTTTGTATCTCTGAGCACTTAGCACAGAGCTTGGCACATCATGAGCGTTTAATAAATGGTTTGGCATTCATTCATGTTCTAAAG